ACTTCGAAGGCCGTGAAGGAGCTTCTCCAGTTCCCAGATGTGATGACCGCAACACAGCATGCAGTTACTCGCCATCTGAAACGTTACATTGTGGAAGCTGACCATCAAACTTTACAAAACTTCCTGAGGTTTTGCACTGGCTCAAATTTGGTTGGGCATTCCATTAAGGTTGAGTTCACTGAAACATCTGATTTTCAGCGCAGGCCCAGGCTCACACATATGGGTGCATTCTTAAATTGCCTGTTGGTTACTACAATTACCCAGACGTCAGAAATTATTTTAATAGTGTGCTGACTAGTTCTGTCTGGGTAATGGATATAGTGTAGATTGTCTCATCAGCTACATAATGTCAGTTTGCAGTTCTCAATAGTTTGGTTAGCTTTATGAAAAACTGCCATGTTTCAAAAAAGGTGACAAGTTGGTAAGCTGTTCTGATACTAAATAACTCAGGTTATTTATTTGTTAAATAATAATAAGTAAACTGAATATGTGCAAAACATTTTATTTTTGAATGACACATTTTGTAAACATTCCTGGATAAAACAGGTGTCAACTTTCTTTTTAAGTTCTTGCACAAGTGTTTAAAACAAGCAGTTGTGAATAACACATTTACAGGTTTTAGTCTAGTAAAGAAACAACAAATCTCCATTCATCTCATCAAGTCATCATGTTGAGACTGGACTTACTTGATGAGATGACTCGAGTCTGGTGTGCTATTGCTTGGTTGGAAAGAAAACCTGCAGCCACACGGCCCTTTCTGGAATCAGTTTGAGACCCCTGTACTAGATCAACCTGTTTTTAGGTGTAGTCCTGTTTCTCTGACTGTGACTAACTGTATGTTCTCTCTTCATCTTCTGATATAGAAGCTGGCTCACAGCTCGTCTGCCTGGCTGTGTGTTTCCTGGACGGAGCCGCCAGTGTGGCTGGTCGACAGTAGCCTTTTGCATCTCAACTTCTTTCTGTATCTCTGCTTCTGTCTCCTTGAACCCCAGTCGGCCTCAGCAGATGGCCGCTCACACTGAGCCTGGTTCTGCTGGAGGTTTCTTCCTGTTAAAAGGGAGTTTTACCTCTCCACCGCTACAAGCATGCCAAGTGGGATTGCCTTTGAGTCAGTGAGTCAATGCAATCAGCTGGTTTTCCTTAGATAGAAAACTTGAGATTACATGTGTTCTAAATTGCCGTTATATAAATAAGCTGAATTGAGTTGAACTGATGTGTTAAATTTTTTATTACCTCACTGTATCTTTTAGGTGAGTTAAACTAAGTATAATTATTTATATAGTGCTAATTTAAGACACCTGTTTTCTTAAGCTACTTTCCATGTGACATTATGCACTTTTGGGACATATGTGTAGCTGCTGTATTAAACATTTTCTGAAGCTGATCATTTCTACTATCAAAGCATCTCTCTTATATCAAACCGTCTGCAACTTCTACCATATCTATGAAGCTTCTTTCCGGTTTTCCTCATCTGATCATCCCATCTATTTCCATTATACTCACCATCCCTCATATCAAATAGTTTTAAATAACATGCTTTAAAGTAAAAGTCTAACCCCCTGTTTTCAGCCTTAGCCAATATGAATTACAGTTTTTTACAGTCGCTAGGACCCATTTTTCAATACTTAAGTCACTTTTTCAAAACTCTTCACACAGTTCTCCAAACCAACTTTCAGCTTGGCACAGCAGTTCATTTCACATTCAAAATGCACTAAAACTACCAAATCACTTCATACATATCTCAAATCAACACATTCTTCCATAACACTAGCAAAGGTTGACAGCCAACAAACACACTTTGTCACCCACAAAACAATGACCTAAAAAACACTAACAACATGTAGCATTATACAATCTCGGTTAATAATTCACTGCAATAGAGGTTACTGGAATGAATCAGACATGATGCAGAATGCTTCAATATATTTTATGTCTTTTATTTGTTTTTAGGAGTAATTCCAAAATACAAGAATTTGTATTCACATCATCCACTGATACAGATACAATAGTAATGCTAATCTACTCGGTCTTCTCCATTTGGCCACAGGTTCTCATCCACATCACATCTTATGTCATCTAGGGCAATACACCTAGGAAAGAATCTTCTGGCATGCCTGATCCATCCCTGACAATCTTCTGCTGATATGTCCAGGCATCCAGCATTCATTGCGTCCAGGAGGGACATTTGATTATGTGGATGGTGGTCATAAACCTTCCACCTCCATGAGGAAAAGAATTCCTCTATGGGGTTGAGGAATGGAGAGTAAGGTGGGAGGAAAAGTGACACCATTCTGGGATGGGCTGCAAACCACTCAGTGACTGCACGAGAGTGGTGAAATGCCACATTGTCCCATACAATTATAAACGTTGGTGGATTTCTTCTCTCTGCATCCCTTTCCTCACCTAGCACAACCCTTCCATAGAGATCATGCAGGAACGCAAGGAGACGTTCAGTGTTGTATGGCCCAATTAGTGGTTTGTGTAACAGCAGTTCATCAGTGGATATTGCTGCGCACATTGTGATGGCACCCCTCTGGCCCGGGACATCCACTGTGGCTCTCTTCCCAATCACATTCCTTCCTCGTCGCCGTGTTTTGGCCAGGTTGAAACCTGCCTCATCCACAAAGATGAAAATGTGGGGCGTTTGCCTGCCTTCAATCTCCATGACTCTCTATAATAAATCCACAAGGCAACATAAGCTGTTACAGTAGTAAACATTACCTAAAAAAAATGTCTTTGTGTGTGTTTTGTTCAAAAACAGTTCTGTATTTTATTGTGATCTTACCTGAACATATTGGTTCCTGAGTTGCTTGACATGTTCAGAGTTCCTCTCAAAAGGCACAGTGTACAACTGTTTCATCCTTACCTGATGTTTTTTCAGGACTCTAGAAATAGTTGTGATGCTTACACTGTGAATATTTGCAAAAGTAATGTTGTCTGCCAAAACTGTGTCTCGAATCTCAGTGAGTTTTATGCCATTGTTTCTGATGACCATATCAACAATGGCAGTTTCCTGCACATCAGTGAGCATCCTTCCTCTCCCACCTGTGTGAGGTAACCGTTGAGTCCTAAGCAGAAATGCTGAAGCAATTACACACAAGTCTATTTACTTCTGTAATGTGCAACTCAGTCAAATGCCCTTGCAGAATACAAGTTACCTGTTGGTTTGCCGGAAAACTCTAACAATAGATGCCACTGTTGAGCATTGCAGATTTGGCTGCACTCTCTGACCAGCCTCTCTCATTGAGAGACCATGATTTACTACATGATCAATTACAGTAGCTCTGATCTCATCTGAAACTACAGCTCTTGGTCTTCCTCTTATTCTTCTTCCACCACGCATACGTATTCCTCGCCCCCTCCCAGCCCCTCTTCTTCCTTTTTCAGCCACTTCTCTGTTTCTGGCTGGGTCCATGTTTACATCACAATACAAAACTATTCAGCAGTTGTCTCCTTTTGTAATGAAATTGAAAGAGTAACACCTGTGTAGATGTTCATCTACAATGAGAATCAACTGTGGTTGGTCCAATTGTCCACTTATTTTTATAGCATTTAATTTTAAGATGTAAAATATATTTCATTAAAATATTCCTGTAGAAATGTAGCAAATTGCTGTCTTATTCAGTTTTGTATTATGTTATTGTTTTGAACATAAGTTTAACAGTTTTGAAAACAGTATGTAAGCATGTGCAAATTGTCCTGTAGATACACAGACTTTTGGCGGTTGTTGTGTCGAAGTGAGAAAATAATTAATGTAATTTGAAAGATGTAGTCATTGAATGCATTTTGTGCCAAAGCAATGATAAATGATCCACAGTTTAGCCCACATATACTTCTGTTGTGCTCACTGTGTGAAGAGTTTTGAAAAAGTGACCTAAGTATTGAGAAATGTGTCCTAGCGACTGTAAAAAACTGTAACAGAAGTTGATTCAGTTGTTACTAAGCACTGTTTTTTCTGTTTTTTGGTTCCAAATGTCTTCAAACCCTTATTTGTCTTTTAAGGCTCTTCTTAGTGGCAGTTTGTCAACTTTGTAAAACAAACATAATGAGAGCCTTTGATGATATGCGTAAGGCTTATCTAAATGATGGAAAAACAAAAATATGGCCTGTAGTGGCCTGTACGGAAGAGGCTTCTGACTGAAGACATCTCTGGTTAGTCCTCCACAAAGATCTGATGTATTTGTTTACTCAAATTTATTCATACAAAAATAAATACTAAACACCTAAACCTATTTTGCTAATTTAGGGATTCATTTGTGGCTGATTAAATGCACCACAGAAAAACTACTTTTATGTATTTTAGCTGAAAATGTACAGAGAGCAGTAACCGTATTATGCTGGAACAAAGTTATTGAAATAGCAAATAAACTTTAACTGGTAACACAGAACATGTTTATGTCATGAATGTCATATGGAAGAAACAATTTTACATGTTTTGTTTAGATAGATATACTTTATTTATTCCAATATGGGAAATTGCAGAGTAGTAAAAGCTTTACACATAGTGAGAGTCACAATACAATGAGGTAAAAAGTTAAATAACATCTAGATGTATTTACAACATAAATGCAATATAAAATTTATAAATAAACAGTGTTGGTTAAAGTACAAGTAAAATAAGTTTAAGGTGCAGTGAACAGATTATATATAATGGAGCACAGTACAGTAGTAAAATCAATAAGATTTAACAGTAGTAAATAAAATCAAGAGAGTTCACATTTGGAGGAAGAAATAAGAAAATAAGGAATTTTTTTTAATATTCATAATGTTATTCATAGTCAGGAAGCTCTCATCAAAACAGGGTTAATAAATAGTATAGTTTCCAACAGCCATTAAAACACAAGAAGAAAAAGAGGAAGATTCCCAGAGGATAGGCAGGAAATTAGGGTTATTAAAAACTGTTTATTTTAAAATAATGCTAAATTGAAAAATAAATATATATTCGTAGCAACATACCGCTTCACAGTCTTGTACAGTAGGTCGCGGTAAGCACCTTTAAATCGTTTGCAAGCCGCCCATAAAGAAAATACGAAGAAGAAAAAGATTTCCCATGATTCCATAGTTTGTAGTTTACGGAGTAGCTAGCCCGCTAATTGAGCTAACTACACAGTAGCGGTGGCACAAAGGGTAAGCAGGTTTATTCTGGACGGAATCTAAATATATTTAAGAAGAAATAGCGTTTACGGTATCATTGATAGACGAGTTCGTTCTACTTTTCTAAACCCAAATGCAGTTTTTAGCGTAATTCCTGTTAGCATAGTTAGCTAGTGTGCAAAGCTAGCATACAAATAACTGTTTGGTTTCCCGCTTTGAAATAGATTTCGGTTATGAATGCTGGGTTTAATGAAACATTCAGCTTATGTTGACATTATCGTTATCTTTTATTTCATGTGTAATAGCTTTGTTTAAAGAATTGAGCTGAGGCGCCGAGTGTCCGATAATGGATGTAGTGCAGTAGCTAGTTAGCGCCTGGGGCGCGATTTTCAAATGAATCAGTGGACCTTCACTGTAGTTATATTATTGATTTTTTTGTCAGCTTTTAGAATCGTTTAATTTGAAATGTTCTCGCTTTGAACAACTATTTTACTGCAGTTTTCAAAAACGGACCTTATTGTTTAGTTTCGACCTTTTGATTCCTCTGTCAGGTAGAACAGTGCTTCATGATTCATGAACCTGTGATCTATAATGTTTCATAAAGTCAGTTTTAAATGTCTGTGTTTAGATCCAGGTGTAGGTTGGTAGCATCATTATAGCTTCTTGTAGACAGAAACAGAGCAACTGTTGCCTAGGAAACGACTTTACTAATCACTTGAGACTGATTAGGAGCTAAGAGGTTGGAACAAGTGGGACTCAAAGCCTCCATGGTTACTGACAACAAATCATGGACTCATTTTTGCTCTTCTTCATCTGTTGAAGTGAAACTGAAGCCAGATGAATCACCGTAAGACGGTGTAGGACCTTCTTTTTAGACAGATTTGGTGAATATTGTTTGGTTTTAAACCTGTGCAGGTGAGATGACCTCCACGCTGGGCCAGACGGCTCCTCTGGTCTCAAACCTGGAACCAGGGATGGGGAGGTCTGCTGCCGTGCTGGGGCTGTCTGCGGGGGTAGGGGGGGCAGAGATGGAGCTGCAGAAGATGCTGATCAATGAGAGGATCAAGTCTGAAAACCACCGAACCAACTACCAGAAGCTGATGGCTGAGTACACCAGGTTTGGAGTCTGATTATCAGGATATTTCTCTACAGATCAAAGGAATATTTATCCGCTGAGATCTTTAGCTTGTGTTGTTTGGTTTGACCTGTGCAGCCTGCAGACAGATTTTACGCGGATGCAGAGCGAACTTAAACGCCTACTGAGCGAAAGACAGTCGGAGCAAGAGAAGCTGCAGCGTCTGCTGGCGGAGCTGCGAGGAGAGCTGCTGGACAAAACCCGGGAGCTGGAGGAGCTACGGCTACAGGTCCGACTCAGAACCACAAAGAACTCACTAGTTTATACTAATCCCAAAAAGCAAATGTGGAACAGGTATACGATTTCTTTTCATGTGTGATGCTTTGCAGGTGATGACACCTCAGCGGTTGGAGCTGCTCAGGGCTCAGGTGCAGCAGGAGATGGAGGCTCCTGTGAGGGAGCGCTTCAACAAGCTGGAGGAGGTAAAAATGCAGAGATCCAGGGATCAAAACAACTTTTCTTACCTATTTTGTAGTTTTGGATTGATAGAATTATCTAAATCGCACAAAGAACAATAGTCAGCAACATCATTTGAGTTTGACATTTTTCAGTTCTTATTTGATTAAAACTGGTCATTTTTATTTAGAATAAATCAAAATATGTAAATTCATAAATTATGAATCCACACAGACCTAATATCCCAAAGAAAAGCTTTATTTTATTGTTAGATAAAAGTAGATATTTATTTAGTAATTTTAGTTAGTTTCATCCCTTGTTGAAGGATTCTTAACTTTCAAGCCAAATGTTATTTATTTATTTATTTTTTTAATATTGACATATTTTTTTTTACTATTGAGCTGTTTTAAGTTTCTTGCTTTTTTTGCGCCCCGCATGAAAAACATCCCTTCCACTGCTGGCAGATTTAAACACTTTCCTCAATGTCGATGTTTACAAAGTGTTCCTGCACAGTTCAGTGGAAAAATGTTTTAGTGGGCTGAACATGATCAGAGCACTCCGTCTTTTCCTTCTACATAAAAAAAACAAACAGTTTATCCCGCCTTTTTATGTGAAACCAGTAGAGTTTAACTCCTGTTTGTATATAGTTAAATAAAGAACAAAGATCACAGTTTACATGCAATGTCTGTCTCACTGGCAAATCTGGGATCAGCTTCTCTAATTAGTTGTTGTCAGCATCCAGCTGCATAAGTTTAGATTTTCCTCCTCTAGCATCGGCCTCTCTAGATGCTCTTATTGCATGTTGAGCCAAATGATCAACAGGAAACGTGCAGAAAGCTTTAAAATGTGCAGGTGGGTCTAAATGCAGCATAAAGTCATCAATATCAGGATCAGGATCAGACATACTTTAATTTTCCCAGAGGGAAATTACTTAAGTCATAATAAACAGCTCAAGATCTGTTGTTCCCTGTTTCTACAAAATAAGTTATAAAATTACATGATTCATGCTGATATCTTATAGAGCTGATATGGGTATGATGGAGGAGACTCATCCACGACTTCCGACACTAAACTCTCCTCCTCTTGCATGTTTCCTCTGTCCATAGCGTTCCTTGACAGTGTCGTTTCTAAGTCACCAATTTAGTGCTACTTGGTTCACTACTACTTCAGCACTAAGTTGCTAACTGGTTAGGAAGATGGTTCCAACAAACCGGCTACAATCAAACTGGCGTGCAAACCTTCCGCCACAAAAATCCCGCCCCCTTGATAAACGACCAATCACATTCACTTTATTCACCACTCGAGAGAATTCTGAAACATTTGGAACAGCCGATTCCCTACGACTTTAAAGAATGTTAAACAACTTTTAATCTGAACAAAAATAAGCATTTATTCACAAATCAAAACAATTCTAAGTCCTGGCTGCTGAATGGATTGAACTGGTTCGTTTTTTTTCCAGACTCGTCCAGATTTACCTTCATTCTCTCCACTTTCTGCTGCAGGACAAACTCTAAGGCTGTTACTCCAGCATGTCTGTCTGAGCTTTTAATTTTTCCGTGTTCTGAGGTCAGAAATAGAAATGTTTGATCTAAATATAATAGAAAATCTCCTAATATCCCTCTGTCAGTTTAATGTCTGTCAGTTTATTTTTTATTTTTCATAAAGCATAGATACATTTGACCATAGCTGCTCCTTTATCATCAAGAGTCCTCCTCCAGTCCTTTAAAGGTCTTTGTCTGGTCGTGTCTCCTCTCTAGGAGACGGAGCGGTACCGGTCTGACTACAACAAGCTGCGCTACGATTTCACCTTCCTCCAGTCCCAGTTTGAGCACCAGAGAGAAGAGCACGCTCGTGTGCTGGAGGAGAGGAGGATCATCTACGAGGCGGAGGTGGCTGCTTCTGTTGGAGGTATCAGGGTTCTAGTGATGATTTGCTGATGTCATTCTGGGGTTCTGTCGTCAGGTTGCTCGACTGGAGAGGGACAGAAAGGAACTGGTGGCTCATTATCAGGGCTCAGACGCTCTGAGTGACGGGAGGCGGGTGGAGGCTCTGCTGAGAGAGAAGGCCCAGCTGAACCAGAGGCTCAAAGGCCTGGAGGCAGAAGTAGCCGAGCTCCGAGCGCAGAGGGAGAACTCAGGGCAGCAGGCTGAGAGCGTCCAGCGCACCCAGACCAGACAGCTGACTGAGCTGCAGGCGGCCGTCAAATCGCTGGAGGTGAACCTGAACACAAAGTGTCTGATAGTGAGCGTGTTTTACCGCCTGATCGTTCTCTGATTAGACCGTGTTTTACCGTCTGATCGTTCTCTGATCAGACCGTGTTTTACCGTCTGATCGTTCTCTGATCAGACCGTGTTTTACCGTCTGATCGTTCTCTGATCAGACCGTGTTTTACCGTCTGATCGTTCTCTGATCAGACCGTGTTTTACCGTCTGATCGTTCTCTGATCAAACCGTGTTTTACCGTCTGATCGTTCTCTGATCAGACCGTGTTTTACCGTCTGATCGTTCTCTGATCAGACCGTGTTTTACCGTCTGATCGTTCTCTGATCAGACCGTGTTTTACCGTCTGATCGTTCTCTGATCAGACCGTGTTTTACCGTCTGATCGTTCTCTGATCAAACCGTGTTTTACCGTCTGATCGTTCTCTGATCAGACCGTGTTTTGATCGAACTGTGTTTTACTGCCTGATTCTTTTTTTGATTGAACCGTGTTTTACTGCCTGATCGTTTTGTGATCAGACCGTGTTTTACTGCCTGAATGTTTAGTGATCGAACTGTGTTTTACTGCCTGATTCTTTTTTGATCGAACCGTGTTTTACTATCTGATCGTTCTCTGATCAGACCCTGTTTTACCGTCTGATCGTTCTCTGATCAGACTGTTTTACCGTCTGATCGTTCTCTGATCAGACCGTTTTACCGTCTGATCGTTCTCTGATCAGACCGTTTTACCGTCTGATCGTTCTCTAATTAGACCGTGTTTTGATCGAACCGTGTTTTACTGCCTGAATGTTTTGTGATCGAACTGTGTTTTACTGCCTGATCGTTGTGTGATCAGACCGTGTTTTACCGTCTGATCGTTCTCTGATTAGACCGTGCTTTACTGCCTGATCGTTCTCTGATCAAACCGTGTTTTACCGTCTGATCGTTCTGTTATAAAACCGAGTTTTACCGTCTGATCCAATGTGCTGCAGGCGGAGCGTCTGTCGTTGCGTCAGCAGCTGGAGAGAACGGGGTCTGAGCTTCAGCAGAGCCAAGAGCAGAACAGCCAGCTCACAGGACGGCTGCTCAAAGCAGAGAGAGATGTCATCTCGCTGAACTCACAGGTAGGACCCCCCCCCCGCCAGTCTGAGGCGTCAGTCAGCCATCGCTGCCCTCTAACCTTTAATGGATGCACTGGTTTCAGATGGAAAGCCTGAAACATTCCCATAAGCTGGAACTGGCGGGCATCAAACTGGAGTGTGCTAGCTCTAAAAGAGAGCTGGAGAGGGAGAGGGACGCTGTGCAGGCCCAGATGGACGGTACCGCTCAGTCCGACACACGTTTCTACCATTCTGCTTCCTGACGGCTCCATCACAGCTACATGCTGCCTTTATCCTCACATCCTGAGTCTTACTGGTTGGTTTCAGGGCTTCAGACTGACATTGATGTTCTGAAGGAAGCACTGGACCGAAGCAAGGAGGTTTTGGTGGAAAAAGAGAGGGAGCTGGTGAGGAAGGTGCAGTCGGTCCGAGAGGAGGAGTTCCACAAACAAGCCACTTTAAACGAGGAAAAGTCAGAATCTGATCATTCACTTCGACAAGGAAAGAATGACCGAAAACTACAGAGAATGTTTTCCTCATCTTGATTCTTCTTCTAGGTTGGAGCTGGAGAATCGCCTCGCCATGTTAGAGCAGCAGAGGGCGCTGCAGGACGCCTCAGATCAAACCTTAAAGGAGGAGTGGGAGGAACGGGTCCGCAGCGCTCAGCAGGGAGAGGAGTCTGCTCGCAGAGAGCTGCAGAACCTGAGGTCAGCCTGCAACTCCGTGGTTCACCTGCAGAGAGCGCCGTTCCGAACAATTGTTTTTTTGTTGTTGGTGTTTCTTTGAAAAGTTGGATCAAATGGTTGTTTTCTGTATGTTAGAAACAAGCTACAGCAGCAGAGTTTGAAGATGGAGGAGCTGGAGAGACAACGAGCAGAGATGGCCGACCTTCAGCAGGTGAGACCACGGGCTTTACATCCACCGAAACATGTTTGGTTTCTCTACTGAAGGTTTGGTTTCTGATAACAGCAGAACCAGGAGCTGGGGGTCCAGCTGGCGGCGCTGAGGCGTTCTGAAAGCGAGCTGATGGACGCAAACCAGAGCCTGAGAGAAACGGTGGACAGAGCAAGGGAGGAGCTGAGGGCAGCGCGGGCACAAACCGAGAGGAGTCAGCACGAGGCGGAGAGGTGCAGCTACTCGCTCCGCCCCTTCTCGGAGGTTCTCCTTTCTCCTGGTTTTGACCAACCTGCTGTCTGTTGTTGCTTCTCCAGGATGGTGGAGGACCAGCTGGTGGAGAAGCACAGGCTGCAGCAGCGGGAGGCGGAGCTTCAGCAGAAATACTCTCAGGCCAAAGAGAAGCTGCAGAGAGCAGCGGCGGCTCAGAAGAAGGTCCGCTTCATGACGTCGATCTGCTTTTATCGTCTAAAACAACAATGAGCTGAATACAAGGTTTGTGTCGTTTAGAGGAAACATCAGACAGAGAACCGAGAGAAGAAGCTGCAGGATAAGATCCAGCTGCTGGAGGCCAAAATCGAGGAGCTGGAACTAGAAGCTGCTGCTGCTAAGAAGTCAGTCTGACTCCATCGATAACCTGAAGCTCTTCTGGCTTTTCTGTCGCCTAATTTTCTTTCCGGGTGTTTCCAGGCGCTCGGTTTTCTCAGAGGAGCAGGCTCAGCTGAAGAGACGTCTGAAGGAGCTGCAGCGGCGACACCACGAGTTCCGCCGCCTCCTCCTGGGCGGCCAGGGGCCCCACCCCATGACCTCCTCGCTCTCCCTACCGGTCCTCGGGTGTGAGGGCCCGCTTTCTGTCGACCTGGTGAGGCTCTGATTATAGTTGGATGAGGTCTGATTAAACTGAGCCCAACGTTCTGGAAACTGGATGCACAGCTATTGAATATAAGAATCCAGGGCAGGTTTCTCTATTTCATCATGCACTTTGTAAATGTAGGAAATAGAAATGTAGAATATCTTTTCTTAAACTTCAAAATTGTCTTGGAAGAATGTTAAAATCTTAGTTCTGACAGCAAACTAAAGCATCCAAACGGCGTTTGTTCTGCAGGAGGCGGAGTTCTCTGTGCTGCGGAGGAGACTGGAGAGTCTGGAGAACGCTCAGCAGCAGCAGCTGGAGGAACTGGGCTCACTGGTGCAACAATGAGCACGGCTCTGCTCCCAAACCTGACCTCTGACCCCGACCGTGTCACCTTCGTTCCAAAGCTCCTCAGGAATAAATCTTTTATTGTTTACATTTATCTCCCTCCTCAACGGGCCTGGAAAGCCTTTAGAGCCGATAAACACGATACCCTGAAAAAAAGAACCTATCTGATCGATTTTATGTTTAAATTAAAGAAGATTTTTATCTCTCTGGGTTTTAGAACAGAAACAAACATTGTTAGGGAAACAAAATACAGATTTTCTTCAATTTTATGCAAAATGGAACAGAAAAAAACAAACCTTTTCATTGCATAATGACTAGAAATCAGCATTAATGTTTTGAGATCATTTGAAGCCATTCTGGGTGTGAAGCTGAGGTTGATGTTGACATCAAGGCACTATGAACAGAAACTTGCACATAAAAATGTACAAACTTATTTTTTTTAACTTGAATAATAACTCAGCTGTCGATTTCCTTTGCTCCGTTTGAGAAGCTGATGTGAATTTTTTGCTTGTTTATTAAAAGTTTTCCAGGTTTAAAGGTGCTACATGTTTACATGTTCAGTCCTTCCAGTTTTTATCTCCAGCTTACTTCATGAAAGTAATCCTCAGCGGGGTTCCTTCGCTCTGATGTCTGAAACGTTTTCAGCTCCATGTTTACTGAAGGTGACGACTGCCTCGTCACAGACGTGGAAGAGCTCCCCTCCCTTCCTGTCGAGTTCATTCAAGTTCAGCTTACGGATGAGCTCAGTTCCATGAGCAGCTCTTCAGGCCGTCAAATAAGTCTTTTACATGCTGCAGTTGCTCCAGCAGCTCAGTGGGGGCGCCGTTGCTGAGCAGCTTCTCGTTGATCTGTGGAAAATCCAGACAGGTGTCACAGGAGAAGATGCTTCCCTAAAATCTGCTGCACAGTGGATTGAATAAATGCATGATCAGATCTGTTCACAGTTTCAACCTGGTGGAAACGATAATAAAAGCGACAGCAGACTCTGCTTTCTAGATGTCCTACTTTGCAGAAAGGAACAGGAAACATAAAGGCTTGACACGCAGCTGAAGAAGTTCAGCTCGTTTCCTTTCTGTCCTTCCATTTGATTATCAGTTTCACAACCTACTTCTGCAGCGGCCTACATCTCGCAGCTTTTCCTGTGAGGAAACAGCTACTAGCAACATGTCTTTAATGTTCTTAAATTCTTTCTTTGAATCTGGAAGGTCAGAGTCATCATTAGGCTGCTTCAGCTAAAAGTTTGACTGTTTGGATTTGCTGTTTATTTTGCGGCCTAGAAGCGATGTGAGTTAGGGGATGCACCGATTTAAAAAACCTAAGGCCGATATATATATATTCCCATTAAAATATTATAATTAACCAGAAAACTATGTTTAAAATATTATATACATTGCAAAAACTAATCTAAACATAAGTAACATATTCTTAAATGTATATTTTGAGCAGGTTAATAAGATGATCTGCCATTGGATTATTATACCATTAAATTCCACATATAGATATAATGCCCCTAAAAATATATATATAAATTATCTTATTCCATTGGGAAATCACTTTACTTACCTGCTCAAAGCAAAGGGAAATACATTGATTTAGATAAAGACATGTCCGATTTTGCTGTTTGTTTCTCTAACATTTGGACATGATTAAAAAACAAAAACAGTGCAGACCAGGGATAAAAACATACAATGCAAAAAGATTATTATGGTTTATTATATTTTTTTCCCATCTCGTTAATTGATAACATAAAAAAATCCTTTAAATGTTGTAGTGGTATCACCGTCCACTAGAGGGCACTGCTGTTTTTTCTCTCTGGTAATTTGCAAGAGAGGTAATGCCAGAGTCCAATCAAGGATTATTTTCACTCTTTAATGAAGATAAGGATTTTTTTCCCCCAAGCGTTTTATTGTCATTACATCATCACAAGTACGGAGCAATGAAATTAACTCTCTGCATTTAACCCATCCGTTTGGGGAGCAGTGGGCTGCCATTGTGCGGCACCCGGGGAGCAGCGTGGGATTAAGGGTCTTTGCTCAGGGACCCCGAGCTCCAAATTCCAAGCGCAATCCCCTAACCACTAGGCCGCCTGCAGAATGAACATCATGTGGTTCTGTTTGTGAACATAAACTCTGGATAAACAATATAGAGCCATTTAACCTCCTGTTATATCCATAACGTCTCTCCCAGCATAGAATGCTGGATTACACTAACAGACCTACATCACATTTAGCATTTCTTTAAAACAAGGTGGCTCATTTAGACATTTTGAACTGAAAGAGCTTCCTGGATGGGAAGCAAAACGTCTTCAAACTTGGAAGCAAAGTCCAGTGGATTGTTTTTTAGCTTCACCAACAAGGTGGCAAATATACCTCGTCTATTATTGATCGTTTGACATTGGAAACCCTAATGGGTTCCTGTTTTGTTATATCATCTAGTTTAATAAAGTGTAAGAAAACATGTTTTGTTTATAAAAAAAAAAATAGAAGCTCATCATTAGATTGTTTAAGATTGTATTACAGTTTTGGTCAAACATCATCCTGAGCTGCATCATAACTGCTGTCACATGACCAAACAAACCATGTGACTGATCCCCCTCCTTAACAACTACATGGAAACAAACATTGGTTTCAACAGGACAATTTTATCTGAGTCATACCTCTATGCTTAAAGATGAACTATATCTGTGGATTCCAATATTAATGCCAAGTATCAGTAATGCCTGATGTGAGGTAAAATTGCCATTAGAGAATTGTGTGTTGCCCGGCTAGCTCAGTCGGTAGAGCTTGAGACTCTTAATCTCAGGGTCGTGGGTTCGAGCGCAAAACATTTTGGGAGGGGAGTGGTGGCCTAGTGGTTAGGGCATAGGCTTGTGAGTTTGATCTCCCACTCTGGCTCCCTTATCAAGGACCTTATTAACCTCACACTGCAGTGGCCGCACAATGGCAGCCCACTGCTCTCCAAGGGGATGGGTTAAATGCAGAGAAGTAATTTCCCTCTGGGGTAATTAAATGTTAATTACACATATATATATATATATATATATATATATGAGATGAATGCATCCTCATGTTGTGGATGTAAGGACTAACCTGCTCGAAGTATCGCTGTACAAATTCATAGAGCTTTTTGAGGGCTGCGGCTTCGTTGAACTCCCCTTCATGTTTCTAGAGAGAGAAAGAAATAGGAAAGTAAATCATTTAAAGGTATAGTGGAGGATGTTTTTTTTCCTAGTGGATCATCAGAATAAGTGGCCCTCCCAATTGTCAATCATTTTGGTGATATGTTTACGTAAGGCCATCCTATGTGCTCATCCCCATTTTTACTTACCGATGGTCAGTCTGACATAGTGGAAAAATTGCAAATCTTCTTTTAAGGGCTCGTGCACGCTCTCACATACGGTACATTAAATAGGCTTTCCCTCTGCGGAGCGGGTACAGGGTTGTGTATGCGCATATTTTTTTAAAGTGGAGAGGGCTTGTCTCTTCAAATATTTGCGAAAATCCTCCACTATAGCTTTAAAAAAAAACACTAGAACTTGAACTCATCACAGCTGTCAAAGTGCTGTGGATCAAAAATCAGTTTTAATGCAGCTGATCAAATAAGCCATTAAAAAAGCAGAAATATCTGAGATTATATCGTCCAAACTGGACTGGTTACACAGAACCTTTGACCGATGCTGTGTTTGAAATCTATTAATGGTCCAGGCCAATTCTTCAAAGATCAAAAGCAAGACCAAATCTTTAGAATTAGACTTAAATATTGGAACAGCTAAAAAAAAAATCCTAATTTAAATCACAAAATGAATTGAAAAGATTAACTGATTCATCACAATAAACTAAAAAAATACTGATTCCAACCATGCATTGATATGCAAACTAAATTCTTTAGTTTATGTTGCACGTTAAAATGAAAAACTGATAAAGTTGAACGAATTATGAAAAAATCTGTAAGAAACAAAAAACTTTTTTAGCCTCTAATGTATTTTTATTAAAAAGTATTTATACAAAAACAAAGTCTCAAAATGTTCATGTATCAAGACAACCTATATATATATATATATATATACATATATATATATATATATATATATATATATATATATATATATGCACTGCTGCACTTTTTGTGACCACTGCTGCACTTTTTGTATTTTTCTATAACTCGTGCCATTTGAAATATCAATGCAACGTTCATAAGCTGTATGTAACGCAATTTCGTTCTGTATGCACCCTGTGCATACAAAATGACAAATAAAGAAGTCTAAGTCTAAGTCTATATGTGTGTGTGTTTACTACTTTTAATTATAGAAATAATGGGACAGAATAATTTTTCCACTACTGTATTTTGGGGTTTTCTTTACGTTGAACACCAGATTGCATTAATCATAAAATAGCAATAAGTTCAAGGTAAAAACTAAACATCTGATCCTGTTTTATTTAAAATATTTGGTCTTGATGAAATTTACTGAGGTTTGATAATATGGTAAAAATGCTCCTCCATCCCTGGTGATGAGTTTATGTGATTTTACCTTGGACTCTCCCTGCAGGAAGTCTCTGAACTCAGCGTTGCTAACTTCTGGCTGCTCTCGGATCTGTTTGTAGTAAACCTTCACCTCCTGCTTGAACTTAGGGATATCTTTGGCGTAGAGAAGCTTGTTGGTCGGTGCGTGCTGAAACATTTTAGTCATTTAGTTATTTTTCACTTGGAGTTTTTACTCAGTTCTGCGATTTGGCAATGGAATGTGCTTCTTCACCTTCCCCAGCTGGGTCTCACTCAGGGAGAAGGAGTCCATGAAGGCCTGAGCGATGACGGACAGGCAGCCATCCACATGGGGGGTCTTCTCCATGTCGAACACAAACTGCGGGTTCTTCAGGATGTTGATCCAGAAGCGCAGCGGCAGGCTGGTTTGGAGAGAAAGGAAACCGAACGGTTCATTCTCGCACTCATTGTCCAATCAGAGGTGAAGGAAGCCATCCTTACCTGTTGGTCTTCCAGATGTGTCGCACGTCTGGATCTGTGATCTTCATGTTCTCTGCCTGAGCATCCAGGAAGTCAAAGAAGTATTTGATGGCGAGTGGGGCTCTGCTCTGGGACATCCCCCAGATGGACCTGAAGAGGTTCTCCACATATGAATGAACGGCCACCTTAGAGCAGGAGACAGAACAACTGAACGTCATTAGGCAACCTTAAAAAAAAAAATCTTTTTTTTCCTACTTCTGTTTGTCCCAGCAGAGAGCTGCACTGGAACCAGTTCCTCCTACCTTGGTGGAGAGCAGCTTGGTCAGGTACACCTCTTTCAGTTTGAGCTTCTTCCTCTCTGGGTTCCTCCCTTGCTCCTCCACCACATCAGGATCAATCTGCACCAACAACACCAACCAACCCATTAGCTGCACTCAATAACTATCCTGTTAAATCGGCATGAGAGTGAAAACTATGAAGTTGGAGTAAAAAACAGCCTCCTACCAAATGGAAGTACTTTCCACAGAAGTTTTCATCATCTAGAAAAAAAGTAAACAGGAAGTAACGTGATCAGGCAATCTATTACTTTATTAGACAGAAAACATGCAGTAAAACAAACCAGCGGAAAACAAACAAACAAAGAAAAACGTTATACGAGATATTGATTAATTAAAATGAAACTGACGTTTATTTGTTTCCGTTAAAGTGTAAAAAATAAATGGAAATTGGAATATTTACAGTGCCGGTTCTAGACCTAATCTACCAGGGGGCCCAGGGTGGAGCCCTGTGTTTTTTTTTATGGAGACACAAAACTAAAGATTGAAAAAAAAAACATGGCAGTAATTCATTGATTGATTAATATACATTACTTAGCATAATATAATAATTTAGTTGTTATCTCAGCAATGAATTATTGATTGAAACATATTAGGTAGATTTCAAGCAGCAGTAATAATATATTTCTGACTAGAATTATCTGCTCCTGCAGATTTGAACAAACCACAATTTTAACCTAAGTTTAAACTTTGTGGTGTCCTTTGCTTCTAACTCATTGCGGAGTCTTTTTTAGCCATTGTTGATGGTAACAACAGTGCGGTAAAATGTTCCCCATTTCTTAGAAAAAAAACATTCAAAGAGCGACACTTTTTGTATTTAGAAGACCAAATATGAAACAACACCCTAAGACATTTTTCACACCTCTTTTGCAGAATGAGATCAGCATGCAGCATGACAATGAAGCACCTTCTTTGTGTCATAGCCATTTATGCAGTGCTGGATGATAGATACTTTCACTTTAAATTAAGGAGGAATGGACTATATTTAGAGAAAAAGTTTCCCTCCTTTGAAGCCATGTTTAGCTATGATCTCAGACCAGAAGATGACGTTCTATGTATATCGGTTCTTACCTTGCACACTCCCCTGTGGGCTTAGCGGAGGATGAGTTTTAGTTGATAGCACTTTAATTGTTGCCCCATCATCAATCTAAAAAAAACAGAATAGATTAACCAGATTATTTCCAACAAGAACATAAAGGAACTGGTTGAATGAAATAGCTAAATCAATCCAGGAGCTTCAGATGCACCAATCCTTTGTTCAGTGTTGAAAACAAATAATCAATTTTTGACTAAAAGGTGAAAAACTGAAAGCTAATTTGTTTTTCTATTTGAACAGATGTGTTGAAACTGAAAACGTTCTAATTTGGGCTCTTTAATACCAGCCCTATTTTCAGTTTCATACACTTTCTGATTTTGCCGTCTGTTGTGGCTTATAAAAAACATGTCCTGTATGAGTCTAAAGCAGAAGAAGTGTCCTCCATATTTGTTACATTCATGGCTGCTGGGTTATTTTTGTTGTGAAATCAACATCTTGCTCTACCTATTTTATTTTATTTTTTTCCACATTTGAGGATGAACTAAACATTTGGGGACACATCTTAAAACCTTAGTGAGTTTCCCATGTTTGGTCAAATCAGTTTTAACTGCATTCATTTCATATGAAATCTAGGGCTGAAAAAATTAAGCAGATTAATCTTGATTAATTGATTATTGAAATAATTGGAGGACAAGTTATTTTGATGATCCACCCAGAAAAAGAACATCCTCCACTATACCTTTAAATTTTTACTTTGCATTAATCTGTTAGTGGCACAAATGTACTGTAGAGCCTTGGACTCGGGAGACCAGAGAATTTTTGGTCAAGTTCAAAATAAATCTGAGGCAGTCTGGGTTGGCCTGACCTCAAATGGGTTATGATGCAGTATCATAAATACAAAAAGAAATACTGAGGCATTAGTTTTTAAAGGCAGACATGAGGCAGCCTTATGGCGATCTGTAAAATGTACCCCAAAAAGGTGATAACAATTTGCACTGAGGCAAATGCACAATTTTATTGTAAGGAATTTGCAACTAATAAAGATAATGTGGATGATTTGTGCGTAAAAAAAGGGGACATATGAAAAAAGAAAAAAAGGAGAGAAAAACAAACTAGCTGTGACACATTTCATGTTCAGGACATCTTGATGGAGCAGAATGACCATATAAGCCATTACGCAGCATTTTTCACCCCATCTTTTTCCCTTTATATGAAAAAAGCTCCACCCTTTCTAGATGCGATGACTAAAGGATGACCGTTTTCCATGTCCTCTGCTTATCAAGCTGTTGCATCAGAGGAAAACATGTTGATTCCCTCTGACAGCAACAACTAAACCGGATCACAAGTTTCTTATAAAGTAGAAGTGAAACTGAGTAATGGCGCTGGTGCCATTAGCCCCTCCCCCCCAAAAAACCCTCTTCCTCTTCATCTTGCAGTTTAGGCAACATTTTCTGTCCATATCATTTTTGTTGGTTAAAGAGTCACTTGCTCTGTCCACCAGCCCTGACTCAGCTCCACACCCCCACCCTGCTTTCACAGCAGTAAAAAAAGCTACATACGTGTCTGTTTGTTTGTAACACCGCAGCCTCTGCACCCCCCCTCATACAGTTGTTTTAAACTATGTAAATCTCTGTTACAGTTGAAAGTCTCACCTTATAGTGTCTGAGTGTGTTGAGCTTAGTCAACTCCCCGATCACCTCGGAGCCTGCATCCACCTCCTGCAGAGGAAAAAACGATCCATCTTTCTCCAGTTCTGGAAGGAGAGAAAGATTTATTAGTTTGATCTAAAGCAGGCGTCTTTGACAATCTTTAGGGACCCAGAATAAAGAAGAAACGGATATAAGACCCCCTGCAATGGGGTATGGAGGACCAGGAAAATCAATGAAAAAGAAATACAACCATTGGAAATTCAGCTTTTTGTTAAAGACAAAATGCAATTGTATCCATGATCCACAATTTGAATATGTATTTTCAAATCCTGTTTCTAAAAGAAGATTTGAAAACTGTAAAACATTTTGATTATAAATAACTTTCCTTATTGAACATTCAAAGAGGCAATTCCTTTTCCCACTTCTGTTTTCCTTTTTGAGCTTGAAATTTTTAAGCCTTTTTGGATTTGCATTTTATTTGGTAACACTTGACAATAAAGTCCAAAACATTTCCGTAACGACTAGATAACATCTAGTAAACTAATCAGGAACTAATGGGAAGGTAACCAGTGGAGAACAACCCAGCCCATCCTTATTATGGCAATGCTGCTTCATTACTAAAGAAACAAGGAACTAATCAGAACCCATTGGGTAGTTTCATTTTACTTAAGAGTAGATAAAACATTAGTTAATGGTCAGGTGCTAATTAGCTAATGTTTGTTTCTTTATTAACTACTTGGTATGATGCTTTACTCCAAAAAGTCCATAGAATACTAGCTAGGCAATGATTTGGTGCTCAGTAAGTGATAGAGATAATTAGGATGACAGCAGAACTAAAAAGCAAAAGTGATAACGTCTTTCATTAACAGGTTTACAAAAGAGAGATCCAATGAACTATGTTATTGACAAGAAACAGGTTTTTCTTATCACCTCCTCCAGATACCTTGTGTTTTACAATTTAATTCAGTTTATTTATTTAACGCCAATTCACAACACATGTTGTTGTCAAGGCACTTTACAGTTCACCGGATCATCAAATTGATTCAAAGTTTTCTAACTAAGGGTCCTTTTCCCTTTTATTATTCTCTGTTACACCTGCAGTATATTAAGCTAAGGGCTCCACACCACTAGTTGGAACTGAGAGTCTTCTTGGATGTTAGGTGAAACAGCAGCTTCTAAACAGAGCATGCATGAGGAGAAATGGGCTCTCGCATGTGTTTAATAGGCGTTCCCTCTCGGCAACAGGTACAGGGTTGTGCATGTACATTTTATTTTAGTGGAGAGGGCGAGTCTTTTCAAAAATCAGTGAAAATCCTCCATTGTACCTTTTAGCTTTGCCTTCTCAGGTTTAGAGTTTATTCCGAATCAACATTTCTTTACTTTCTGCTGTTGTTGTGGTAATAAACCAGTAGTCCCCTAATAAGCCACTCGTGAACTTTTAGTTCTCCGTGTTTTTATTGTAATTACCAGAGATGGGAAGTAACGAAGTACAAATACTTCGTTACTGTACTCAAGTAGATTTTTCTGATATTTTTACTTTACTTTACTACTTATTTTTATGGCGACTTTTTACTTCTACTCCTTACATTTTTACACAAATATCTGTACTTTCTACTCCTTACATTTTAAAAAATTGGCTCTTTACTTTAGTTTTGAATAATTTCAATGGAATTACCGTTATTATTTTTCACATCATCAATACCAAATTCAATCTAATTGGATGGGAATCTACGTTGCATTTGACGCACCACTACAAGATGAATCGACAGATTCGGCGGTATTCATTCGCGGCAAATCATTGCAGCTTGGTGGCGGTGGCGTTAGCATAGTAGCATGGATGACGAGATGATTGAAAATGAACACAACGGAGATCTAGTCCTATTGGCAGACATCCATTTAAAATGTAGACAACGGCATGAAAAAAGTGGTTTCTACTTTTACTTTTATACTTTAAGTAAATTTACAAGCCTGTACTTTGTTACTTTTACTTGAGTAAAGAAGTTTAATCAGTACTTCCACTTTTACCAGAGTATTTTTTAACACAAGTATCTGTACTTTTACTCAAGTACGGAAAGTGAGTATTTTTGCCATCTCTGGTAATTACTCATTAGTTCCTGATTGGTTATGCTCGTTTCCTCAGTGAATACACATTAGTTACTGATTAATAATTAGTGCTTCACAGGTAACAAAGCAGCGGTGCCATAATAATCCTGGGCTGGGTGTCCCCCATTAAGTACTGATTAACTACCAATTAATTCTTCATTAGTTCCCTGGGCGTTCTCTAGTAGTTAATCAAATTTCGTGTCATTGTTTCTTTCTACTTCCTTTCTAAGGAACAATATACTTACAGCTCATAGTTTTGTTGCAATTAATTAATTATTTAGTTTCACCCTTTTAACAGTTTAGCTACAGTTTATAAAAAGGTTTAGCAGCTTATAAATAGATTTATGATGGCTAATAACTGGTTTAGTAATAGCTTATTAACAATGTTCTTCCAAAAGCCAAATGGAAAATAGAAAGTGCTATGAGCATGAACTTTTCAAATATTTAATATAAAAACCTTTTTATAATGAGATTTATGAATTTGTTTTTTTTAATATGAAAATGGATTTTGAAATACATTTTTAAATAATTGAGTATTGTTTTCAATAATGGATTAATAAATACTTACAATTCCTCTGTAATAATTACATTTAATTTGTGCAATAAAAAAAACATGTATGTATGATTTGGATTATTAATTTGAAATGTTCTTATTTCTTTTACAGTCTCTTCAGGTCCTCCATAGTGGGCGTAGGGCAGTAGTTTCATGTAGATTTAACATTTTTTACTATAAAACAACATACATTTTAGATTAACCACCCATGCAGTACCTCCCTCTGCGGGGGTCATGACATTGTTGAATACCTCCAATCTAAAGATCATGTAACCAAGTGTTTGCATTTCTTAAGTTGCAGATGCATTAAGTTCACTGCAGGAAATACAAGGTATTTGTTTTTGGTTGCATCTCCCAGTTTTAACATGTGAGTAAAAAGCATATTTTCCTTATTTTACCAGCTAAGTGAGTTCCGATTGATGTAAAGTGAGGAAATTTTCCTGGTCCTGACTAGCTCTGTTGCAAGAGGTACGGTTTGGGGCTGAGGTGTGAACTTGATTTAGTTTAGTGTTAGGGTGAGGTTTGCACTGTTAATGGTTAGGTTTAGGGTTCCTGTCAGGGTCAGGGCACAGCAAGGGTTAAAAATATGTGAAAATCAATGGGAGTAAACACACGGTCCTCACTACATATAGCAATACCGGATTGTGTGTTTTAATGAGAAGGCAAATTATTTCCTGAAGCAGAGGAAGCTTTTTTTTATTAAAGAAAATTGTGCAACCAGAAAGAAAGACAAATATTTTTTTGTGGGTTGACTATAAATAAAAACCACACTGTGGTTTAATAAAACCAAACAGGTTTACAATGGCTGTGTCTGAATGTCCGCCCTAATCACTATATAGAGCACTATATAGTTTGGACACTCTTTTTAAATGCTGTTAATGGAAATCCGCTGTGCTAAGGCAAGGAAAGCTCTAAAACCTGCAGGACAGGCGCCCTCGAGGAATGAGGTTGGCATGCCTGCTGTAAACTAATGCAACCAATCGTTTTACTGGATGCAATATCAAGGAAAAAAACAGCATTACTTCAGTATCGTGACAAACTATTTTCTACTGATTTGTAGCAACGGGTCACGCAATAAAGACAAAACCCCAAAAAAGATGACAGTAGGAAAAACTGGCGGACTTCCAAGTTCTCATCAAAACCTTTTAAAAATCCATTGAAACCTCCATTTCCTACAGAAACGGTTGAAACGAAACCCTCAAACTACCAGCTACAGCAGGGGTCGGCAACACAAACTGCTCAAAGAGCCATATTGGACCAAAAAATAAAAAATAAAAAACCTGTCTGGATCCACAAAAATGTCTTATATAAGCCCAATATGGCAACACAGGCTCTAAGTGTATTAGCCCATTATAAAAAAGGACTATGTGGGCTTAAATATATAATAAGAATTAATGATTACATTTTTATCCTGGAGCAAATGTGACATCTTGTAACTACTCTGCTGTACGATATTTGGTCCTTATATTTTAAATTCCTTAGTAGCATGAGGTAAAGGAGGAGCAGTAAATGCTCTCACTGCATGGTTTGTATGTATTAATGCATTGATGAATTTATAGAGACATGATAAAGAAATCAGATTTTAATTTAAGAATTTGGGGAAAAAATGGAAGAAAGTTCCCATCCCTGCGTCAGAGTGCTACCTGTTCGATCTGTGAATGATTTTCCATGCTTGCAACAAAACTAGCAGCAGTAGTGGAGTTTGGAGACGCAATACAATTCTTAAAGCTATATTTGCTCTCCTTTAATTTATCAAGAAGTTCTGCAGTCACATTTTTTCTGTCACTCCGAACTTGGTGGTCAGCTGCAAATTTAGCATGCCTTCCTTGGACTTTCCAAATTACTCTTTTTATTTTTTGACAACTTCTCATTACAAAGCAAACATGCAGACCATCCTTCCGCATTGGTAATGAAAGCAAATTATTTGGTCCATCCTTCTTTGAATCCTTTATTCTCATCAGCTATTTTCCTTTTTTTCCCCTTGGGATCCATGGTCTGAGACACTTTCTCAGGTTTGTATACAACAGCCACCTGCCTGGCACCGTGCCGCGCTGAAACGTGTGTTGCAGGCTATGACACAAATCTTTATTGACAGAAATGTCTGTTTGTATTTATTAGTCTAATTTCTACAGTTTTGGAAAACATAATAAATGTTTATTTGACCTGCTGCATATCATATTAAAACAAAACAAAAAATCAATTTTTTTTCAGTTTCATACATTTTTGAAAAAGCTCCAGGGAGCCGTAAGGGGGGCGCTAAAGAGCCACATGTGGCTCTGGAGCCAAGGGTTGCCGACCCATGACGTACAATATATAACACAGAGAGGTGAAATAATGTGTCCAAAATACTCTGTGGTTAAGTCAAGTTTCAACAAGTCATTAATTGTTGGTTCCAAAATAAACAGTTAGTAAATGGTGCTAAACACCACAAGGAAAGGAAAAAACCCAGCAGGTTTGAATGTGGACTCTGATCGGAACTTTAAAGACCAAATAAAGTCTGGCAACACAGCAGCATATTACAACCTTTTGAAAATTTTCTAAATAAAGTTTACGGTTGCTAATCAGATAGAAACCATGTCAAGCACTTAGTTGATCACTTGTCAGTGTATTTAAAGACAAATGACTTTTTTCCCTCTGTGTATAAAGGTTGCTATATAAATAAATTGTTTTTAACTAAGGAAGGTAAGAACTGGGGACATATGGGTCGAACTCACCGATGCAAACATCTCTGACAGGCGTGTTGTAGGGGAAGCCGAACTTGGATTTGAAGGTGTTGAGGATTTTCTCCTTGAGCTGCTCCACGGTGTCACAGCTGAGAGCGTCCACCTCCAGAGGCTCGCTTACTTCTCCATCACTGCCCACTGCAAACAGCACCTTCAGCTTCTGAAGGAGGAGAAACAATCAGCTCAGATCTCAATTTATTTTCATTATTGTCTGCCTCATGAGAAAAGGTGTTTATTGCACACAATTTGTAAATTTCATGAAGTAAAATTGCTTTTGATGGAGGTTTAGCACTACTTTGCCAAAACAGGCAAAAACGTACCGATCCAAAACAAAACAGTAAAGTGTTTTTAAGAGATCAGAGCAAAAACAGACACAACATAAACTACAAAATGAGTGCACTCTATGAGCTCTATAATTTTAAGCTGTGATACTCCAAAAACTCTAATAAGCCAAAGGGAGAGTTGTCATCCAACGAAGCTATCGAACATTGCTGAACACTTAAAATTGCTGGTCTACCAAAATTACTCTTACAGGAAAATCATAAAGGAGGGAAAAAGGTCCAAACTATGTCAGGCCTCGTTGGTTATTAATAAGATAGAGAGAATGGGCAAAAATGTCTTTGTTGGAAAAATTAAAGACCGAAAAACCTTCCAAAAAAAGAACAGAAAGTGCCATCTTATATTTACCAGAACATGTCTTGATGACGGAATATGTAAAACCATCTGAAAGTTGTGGTTCCTGTTGCATTTAGTTTGAAACTGACGAAGGGTTTGAAAAAACATGAAATGACTGAGAGTAAAACACTGTAGTGGTAGTGTGTTGGTCAGTGGTCACTTTTGCAGGCACTCAAAGTTGCGATATGAAAGCTATTAAGTAGACCTGAGAAAGAACATCAGGTCATTAATTTCTGCCATTAAGCTGAGACAAACTCGTTTCTTAAATTGTGTAGTAAGTTATGCAATCAGATAGAAATATATATTTTTTTGATGATGTAAAACATGAAAGGTACTTCAAGGCTGAATTATTGTAATTCTTTACTATCAGAAAGTCCACAAACTCAGGTTATCCAGAGCTATAACTGTTGTTATGCTGCTATAAGCTTAGGCTGCTGGAGGGCATAGGGACCACTCATTATCATTCTATCTCTACTCTGCATTTCTGCATTATTTGTTACTTTAACCTCTAACTTTATGCTCTCTGCTTTCTCTCATCCTAGTAGCTTCATCCGGTCTGTTCTTGTTCAGCTGTGACTCCATCCTGGAGAGAAATCAGTTGGGCTGCTGCCTTTGACACCTTCATTTATAGATGTAGGAGCCTGGCCTGTTTTTCAGTGTTGTCCTGTTTCTGTTGCTGTGACTATGTGGATTTTCTCTCCTTCATCCTTTGACATGGAAACTGGCTCAGAGCTTTTCTGGTTGGACGTGTCTATCCTGGACGGGGCGTTAGTGGAGTTAGTTAACAGTTACCTTTTGTATTTCTGCTTCTTTTTGTGTGTTTGCTTCTATCCCTTTGAACCCCAGTAGATGGTCGCTCAAACTGAGCCTGGTTCTGCTAAAGTTTTCTTCCTGTTAAAAGGGAGTTTTTTTTTTCTCCACTGTCGCAACATGGATGCTCGCTATGAGGTCTTTCTGTCGAGTCAATAAGTCGATGCAATCAGCTGGTTTTGAACCAATCTGACTTTATGATCTGGTTGAATCGTCTCTGTAAAGTGCTTTGAGATGACGTGTTGTAAACAGTGTTGTTTTTGGCAACCATCTTAGATTTAGGGCCGGATCTATCAAAGGTTTGCGTGTATAAAAACGTGAGCTATTTCACTGGGCACGCTAAAAAATGTACAAACTGATCTATCAACAGCGTGCTAAAAGGATTTGGTCTTTAAAACGTGCTAAATAGCGCCTCTTATCCATTTAGTACTTTTTCTGCAATGAATATGCAATATGGGGCGTTTACACGCAAAAGTGCGTCTTGTGGGAGGAGAACATGTAAATATATTAATTTAGCACTCGCAAAGTGATTTATCAAACCTGAAAGCAATTTTGCTAACGGTATCTGACTCTATATTTAACACGTTTCAAAAGAAGGTGCAAATGGTCTGTATGCGTAATTGCACACACATGGCAGCGGTTATTGTCGCAAGAAGGAGACATCGAAATGAAGCAAGGAGACGCAGAGAACGCATTTTTTCACTACGTGTGAATATTTTTGGAAGGAACGAGGAAACGATCATCAAAACATATCGTTTATCCAGCATTGCCATTTTGGAGCTGTTGGGGGAACTCCGAATGGATTTGGAGCCAGCCACAAGGAGGACCCACGCAATACCAGATATCACAAAACTCCTTGCAACATTGGATCTCCCAATCTCGTTTTTCAGAAGTGCTGTCCGACGTTCTAAATGCCATGTCGCCCTGACGCCCTAACTGAGAAACCAGACCTCCCCCCTGCACCTGTGGAGCAACATGCCAATGCTGCGGGGATGCATACGCGCAGTCATATCATCCAAAGTCACTTCTTGTGAGCCATTTGGTATGTGCATTTTTCTACAGGCCAATACAAAACACCAGTTTTTTTTTTTTTTTTTTTTACTGCAGTGAAGTAGAAATTCAGCCACATACCACCTTAGGGAATAAAGGTTGCCAAAGTTTTTTCTTTATATATATCTATATATATATATATATATATATATATATATATATATATATATATATATATATATATATATATATATATATATATATATATATATATATATATATATCTATATATATATATATATATATATATATATATCTATATCTATCTATATATCTATATCTATATATATATATATAGATATATATATATATATAGTTTTTTTTTTTGGGGGGGTCACTGTAAGATTTAAATGTCTTAATGCACTAGTTTGTACAAACTACAAATTACTTTGCCGCAAACCACAAAACGTGCAAAACCATCATTTAAATAGGGCGTCTCCAACAGTTTTGCACCTGCCACCAGTTACGCAATCACTCTTGTTAAATCACCCTCAAGCAATGTTTCAGCCCCTTGCGCAAAATTCCAGCTTGCGAGCGCAAATTACTGCACGCAAAATTGGATCTTGATAAATCCGGCCCTTAGTCTTAGTCTTCAGGACGAAAACTATTACTAGTCTTAGTCCCGTTTTAGTCCCTATGAAATGTGATAGTTTTAGTCAGTTTTATGTTGCAAAAAAACAATATACAATTTCGTATAACAACCAGATTATTTACCAGACAGACAGCTCTTTCCTAGATACTACAATAGCTGGATATAGAAAGCTGCCATGCAGTTCATCATTGCTGTTGCGCAGAAAACCTTGATTTACATGAAAATACATGTAACCACAGTTTTTAATCAATGGACTCTGCTCTAATACTTTATTTATAGAGCCCTTTTACAGGTCATGTGTTCATAAAGCCCTGATGGGATATACAGTAAAGCACTTATTTTTTTACGGCTTCTTCCTGGGTCGGCATTGCCTGGAATTTCCATTAGACCAATAAGTCGTTATTACCTAGCCTCCCTGCGTTGTTAGCTCTCATACAGATGACAAACCACTAAACTATTTCTCAACATTTAATACTGTTTGCTTACTGCTTTCAGATAACACACCTAGTCGTTTATTCCTCTTCTAATGTGTTAGATGCATGCCAGAGGGTTTTTATCTGTAGATCATAGATTTTTTTGACACTTTCATGTGGTAATCAAAAAGCTGATAAATATTTTTGAACCTGTTTTGTTTTGCATGTTTAAAGAAGACTTTTTATACATGGGGAGGAAGTCCCCATCAGTTCCTGTGTGCTGATAAGTTCTTTCTTATTTCCAGAAATGGATTCAGTTCAGTGGACACGGTGGAACATTAATGGCTATATAGCATTAAAAATGGTCATCGATGAGGTAAACGTGAGCCTATTGAAAACGTTTGTTTCTTTAGTTCTGATGTGACCAAACCAGACAAGTAAAAACAGAACAGAGAATCAGGAAGCTTCACTTTTGTAGAAGTACAACGCACTGGAGCTCTTATGAAAGAGTTTTAACCAAATCCGCCTCATATGAAGTGTGTGTGTGTATGTGTGGGAGGGGGGGTGTCTGTGTACCAGTGGGGTGAAGTCCTGAGCCTGCCACAGCAGCCAGTCCTCACTGAGCGTATAGAGAGCTTTCCCCGTCACACAGTCCACGGGGCCCTTGGAGATCTGCTGCGTTAGCGCGCTCACCAGCAGAAACAGATGCTGACCTACACTTTCCTGCACAAAATCAGATAAAACACACTGTTGGTTAACAGGGTGCAGCAAGTTTTAATAATGTCTGCTTGGTGTGGTTTAGATTAAAAATTTACATTATAAACCACATGTGAAGCTCAGACACAGATAAATACACACATAAATGTCAAAACTAAATGTACGAATTTATCTGTTTATTTTTTTTTTCTTTTTACACATATTGGTATGAAATACTGGACATCAGATAGAGACCCCATGGATGAATGGGAGCAACTGTTTAATAGTGATTTGTTTTTATGAAAAGTGAGAAGTTGACTGTACCATCTAGCTTCTACTCCACTATTCTACCTTTAGCATGTTATGAAGCTTTAAATTAGAGGATAAATTTAAACTGTCTGATGGCCACATAGTTGGTAGCCCCTGCAACCAACATTTTTTTTCTCATTTTGAGTTCATTTATTTTGCAGAAACATTTTAGCAGGCAGACACGATTATACAGTTATTCTATTTCGTTGGCAGTATTGAAATAAATTAGCTCAAACTGTAGCATGTGCATTTAAGTCACTTTAACATTTTCTGTGGACTGAGGGTTGAAACAACGGAAGAAAAAATTGCAAGCTCATTTCGATCCAACTAGAGCCGTGGAGATAAGAGTTGCAAACTTTTAGGTTGCAATGGTGTCCAATAGTTCAGCTCATTCAAAATACAGGCAGACCTAAAACCTTTGGAAATTATTTCACCAACTACCCAACTATTAGGAAAAGCTCACTAATTGAGAGGCTGTAATCTATATTACAGTTCTGTTGTCAGCGATTTGAAATGTTTTTATCTTAATCTAAAGCCTGTTTTAAACATGTTTAGTTGATTAATTTGTAACATTTATAGATTTTAACATTTAGATTTCATGACCAAAGATGAGTAGGGCAACTTGAATGTAATTTCTACTAACTGTCATTGTTTTGCACTTTTTGGTTTCGTTTAAGTTTTCTTTTTTAATTAGGTTATATTTGAGTTCTCTGTATTTCTTGTTTTTCTGTTGCCCTTTAGTGTCAGTCTGCTTTCCCTAGCTCCCTTCTAGCTTCTTCTGTCCACACCTGCTCCCAATCAGTTCATTACCCTAGTCTTTGTTCTGTTTGACATTTATACTGTTTGCTGGTTCCTAGTTGGTTCAAGGCTCCTTGTATGCATTTTCCCGACGTTTCTTTGTATTTTGGTTTCCTGTATTCAGTTATTTTTGACTTTTGCTCCTGTTGCCACTTTTTGGATAATAAATCTGCAGGAAACCACCTCAGCTTCCGTCTCTGCATTTGGGTCCTCTTCAATCCTCCTCCCAACCTGACAGTAACATAAAGGGTATTAAGTATAAATATTTATCTCTTTTCATTGTATGTATTATATATATGGTGACCAGACTTTCTCTTTTTCCCAGACATGTCCTACTTTTCATATCTAAAAAAATGGCCGGGGGAGGAATTTCAAAATCATCCCGGATTTTGGTCGACTGCAGAGCAGCAGAACCGAGCCGTCAGGTCCACGGCTGGTCTGGGAACTCCAGCAGAAGGGGATAGGGAGCCAGCGGGGGACAGAGCAACCAAACCCGACCCAGTGACGGTAGCTGCAGCTTACCCCTCCCAAAAAAAAAAAGGGTCCTCATTTTCAGAAACCCAAATCTGGTCAACCTATATTATACTATACAGTGCATGTCATAAATAAACTGTCCGTTTTATCCATCTCAAGCTATAGGTATATCCCTTCATAAATTAAATTATTATTTTATATTAAAATGTTTATTTGATAAGACGTGTATTTTCACATTCTGGGTATCAGATATGATGCGGTTTCACAGAATAAACAATAACAGAGTTAATGATGCTGAAATGTGTACTAAATATTAGTGCCCTCGATAGCAGAAACCGTAACCATGGTGACATTTCCCTGAATCACTGAGGAAGTGGCTTTTTGAAAATGTGCCATTTGAGTTGTTTCTTTTGGCATGCCCATAAGCTGTCACAATAACAGCTTTCTGTTTAAAACTGGGTTGGAAACATTTATTAATACGACCATATAAGACTTAAGAAGATATTTTTGCATCTGCTGTATTTTAATGTGAATGTGCTGAGCAGATAAAAACAGAAACCATTATGTGAAGACTAAAGTCTTCAGATGAGGCTATATAAGTAAGCGTTACCCCAGAGTGATCAGATTAGCTGCAGTCTCTATGTTGAGAAACCAGCGTCATTAACCATGGCTTATCACTGCCATCTCTGAAATGAGACTAAAGCTGTTAAAGGAGCTGTTATTTTAGGCCAGCCCAGCTGAGAGGTGTTGATATATGACCTGGAGGCTTTTCTTACATAGGGGCTTCATTGACACACACACTTCTGCCTGCAGGTCAAATCTGATTAGTTTGGAAAATATTTAAATCATCATAAAGATGAGAACTGACCAAATATACTGACTTGACCTGCAGAAGTATTTTATTCCATAGGAGAGAAAACTGATAGAATAGAAAAAAAACCTGCAAGTTCAAAGTTTGACTGTATTTTCTCTGTACAGCACGTTCAGATTACACGTGGTGTGAAATGGTGCTATATGAAGAAACTGAATTGAGTAAATATTCTGCAGAAATTCCAAAATATTCTGAAATTATAGGAAAGTTATTTCCAAATATGGTAAATGGATGTTTTAAAACTTTGATGATGAGGATGATACTCCTTTTTTTTATTTTTATTTCAGGCAGACATCTCACCAACAAAAGGCAATAATAAATACTTAAATTTTTCTAAATGTACATCCAATATCTTACTATCAAATTTACATAGTCAAATACATGTTAATGCACAACTTATTCTGTGAGTCTGAAAGGGAGTATGATGAGCTTCATGCCAAGAAGAAAACCAGGATTTGATTTGAATTTGTAAAAGTTGATCAGTAAAACAAAATAAATCGAATTCAAACAAATGAGCAAAAAAAAAAAAAAAAAAAAGGCTGAGAAAATACAGACAAAAATAAACCAATTTAAGGTCAGATTAAAAATATTTGTCAGGGTCTGCTTTGTGTGAGGTCTGTGTTCAGAAACCCAACTAATTAACAAATATTATGTTCGATCTCTACACCATAAAGGTTAAAGAGGATTAGAAATATTTGACAGCTTGATGAAGAGCAATAAGTTGGTTTTTGGTAAGGCTCAAAAGTATTAAAAAAAGACCAGAATAAACCTCTGTTTTCTACTTCTCTCTTCTGCACAAAGGGCCAAAACTAAAAATATCCTTCTTTACAGTGATGCAGAAATCCTTCATGCATTTGTTAGATTAATGGATTTTTTTTATTCTTACATCAGACATTCCAGACCTTTCTTTAAAGCCAGAGTGTTTTTGCCGTTTCTGCTGAACTCCCCAGCAGGGTGTGGCAGAACGCTGTTCGCACTGAACCCGGTTCTGCTGCAGTTTTCTTCCTGTTAAAGAGGAGTTCTCCTTTTTAACTGTTAAACATCTGAATTGCTCAGCATGAGGGATTGCTGCTAAGTCTGAGACCGAATACCTTTGGCTGGCTTTTCTTATAATGAGCACTTCATACCCTCAATGTAAATGCATTGTATTAAAATATAGGTCTGTTTAATTGACTTTGAATTTAAATTAGTTTGATCTTTTTCATTGTTTCAAGGAAACTGATGATGTAATTTCTTTTTTTTTGTTTTCACCTTGTTGGAGTTTCTTGGCTGAAGGCTACAAGGATCCGGCTGTAAAATCTTAGATTTTTTTTCATGATGGTAAGAGGTGTTCACAATAAACCTCAGAGAGGTAACACCTCGAAAAAAATTTACAAATCTAAATAAGCTGCCCCCTGTGGTTTCTATAAGATTTAATCCAGGCGGAGGATGGATGTGATTCTGCTAAATCAGTTTATTTTATTCAAATGTTTCATTCAATACATGGGAAAACCAGGGACAATTTCAAAAGGGTTTGTAATTTTTCTTCAATCAGAAACAAGCTGGAGCGTTGGCACCAGTACTGCACATGATTCATCACTGGTTTAAATCACCTTTCTAAATTTAAACAGGTGGTAACTTGTAACTTTTTAAATGCTGTTTTCATGAATCATATCACCTAGTTTAGCTCGTATATGAGGTTTCACCATGACAGACAGGAAAACAGTGGGAACGTCTGTTATAGACCACATGGCAGCGTGTTTAACCGTGGTTTTTTAGATTTATTACTTTAATATGATGCATTTAATCAGGTTCAAGCAGGGACAGGACATTTATGTGTGCGCACGCTTTTTTACAACCCTGCTTATGTGCTAAGGGGAATATAGTGGGTAATCTATTTGTGTAAAAATATCCATAAAATGTATAAAAGTGTCAATAATGCAAATATATTCCTAGTTGTAATAATTTGGTTGTGTACTGTACCTTAATAGATACCTTAGTAGGTAATCAAGCGTTTATGGCAGCTAATGTTGTTGCATTTTCTACATTTGTGGTTTTCACAAATTCTTTTTGAAGCCTAATTTTCTCAATCATTCATTTTTAAAGTGAATGCATAAAATGACAATTGAAGAAAAAATTTATTTTTCTCACAGATTGTTACATTCCTTCTATGTCACTAAAGGCCTAATGTATATTATATCAGTTTGAATTCTTGATGTCTGCAAATAAAGCCTTCTCACCTTGGGAATTGTATAACTGATATCAAATCAAAACTGAATAAAAAACCCTGTAAAATAAAACATATTTTAATTAGAAAGTAATGAAAATACATAATACTTAAACAGTGAAATATTTATTGTTTGGTTTGTATTTAGATACAAATTTGAAATGTAATTTCATTAATCTGATAAATTTACAGTATAAATTTAGCTTTTGTCTAATCTAAACCATCTCTTAGTAACCTGGTAAAATGCAGAAAGTGTTGCAACTATCCCCGCCCTTCCTACACAGATTATTTTGGATAAGTATTAATCTCATTACATAGCCCACCAAATGAAAATTGGTTGAAAAGACGACAGATTTACGTCAAAACTACATCTACATTTGGTTGAAAAGTAAAAGGTAAAAAGCTTTATTTTTCAGATTGTTTAAAAGACATTGAAGACTGGGTTTGCAAAATCTCTCCAATGTCTATTATTGGACTAAAGTGGGACAAAATCAGACCGACCAAATTTTCAACAATTATATCTGGATTCAATCGAGACTCCAATGATCAACCAGATTTACCCTAAAAACCAACGTCTAAACGACTACTGATGCTTGGTCGAGCCCCCTGTGTGTCAGATAATGACGCCACTGGGCTTCTTCATTTGCCGATGAAAAGGGTGTATTCTGTTGCACAAACTTTTGAAAATAGCACCTCAAATTATTATAATGCGAAAATGTTGCATCAATTGCAACAATAACCCATCCCTTACCTTAACCTTAAACCGAAAAAGAAACACTAGTATATACAGGTGCTGGTCATAAAATTAGAATATCATGAAAAAGTAGATTGATTTCAGTAATTCCATTTAAAAAGTGAAACTTGTATATTATATTCATACATTACATACAAACTCATATATTTCAGATGTTTATTTTGTTTAATTTTGATGATTACAAATGACAACAAATGAAAATCTCAAATTCATCATATCAGAAAATTAGAATATTACTGAAGACCAATAAAAACAAAGGATTTATAGAAATGTTGGCCAACTGAAAAGTATGAACATGAAAAGTATGAGCATGTACAGCACTCAATATTTAGTTGGACCTCCTTTGGCCTGTATGACTGCAGCAATGCGGCGTGGCATGGAGTCGATCAGTCTGTGGCACTGCTCAGGTGTTATGATAGCCCAGGTTGCTCTAATAGTGGCTTTTAGCTCTTCTGAATTGTTGGGTCTGGTGTATTGCATCTTCTTCTTCACAATACCCCATAGATTTTCTATGGGGTTAAGGTCAGAAGAGTTTGCTGGCCAATTAAGAACAGGGATACCATGGTCCTTCAACCAGGTACTGGTAGCTTTGGCACTGTGTGCAGGTGCCAAGTCCTGTTGGAAAATGAAATCTGCATCTCCAAAAAGTTGGTCAGCTGCAGGAAGCATGAAGTGCTCTAAAACTTCCTGGTATGTGGCTGCGTTGACCCTGGACCTCAGAAAACACAATGGACCAACACCAGCAGATGACATGGCACCCCAAACCATCACTGACTGTGGAAACTTTACACTGGACTTCAAGCAACGTGGATGAAGTGCCTCTCTTCTTTTCCTCCAGACTCTGGGACCTTGATTTCCAAAGGAAATGCAAAATTTACTTTCATCAGAGAACATGACTTTGGACCACTCACCAGCAGTCCAGTCCTGTTTCTCTTTAGCCCAGGCAAGACGCTTCTGACGCTGTCTGTGGTTCAAGAGTGGCTTGACACAAGGAATGCGACAGCAGAAACCCATGTCTTTCATACGTCTGTGTGTGGTGGTTCTTGAAGCACTCACTCCAGCTGCAGTCCACTCTTTGTGAATCTCCCCCACATTTTTGAATGGGTTTTGTTTCACAATCCTCTCCAGGGTGCGGTTATCTCTCTTGCTTGTACACTTTTTTCGACCACATCTTTTCCTTCCCTTCGCCTCTCTATTAATGTGCTTGGACACTGAGCTCTGTGAACAGCCAGCCTCTTTAGCGATGACCTTTTGTGTCTTGCCCTCCTTGTGCAAGGTGTCGATGGTCGTCTTTTGGACAACTGTCAAGTCAGCAGTCTTCCCCATGATTGTGTAGCCTATAGAACTAGACTGAAAGACCATTTAAAGGCTTTTGCAGGTGGTGCAAGTTAATTAGCTGATTAGAGTGTGGCACCAGGGGCCATCAATTTTGAACCTTTTCAAAATATTCTAATTTTCTGATATGATGAATTTGAGATTTTCATTTGTTGTCATTTGTAATCATCAAAATTAAACAAAATAAACATCTGAAACATATGAGTTTGTATGTAATGTATGAATATAATATACAAGTTTCACTTTTTAAATTGAATTACTGAAATCAATCTACTTTTTCATGATATTCTAATTTTATGACCAGCACCTGTATGTTACCATGCACCTCTAAAGATAACAACAATAATTTTGTAGGTTAAAGTATAAAAAAATTAATGAATCATTGGTCACATGATACAATGTCCAAAGCCCGTCATTAACCCTGGGCATCAATATATGACGAAAAGGATAACCTCTTCATGTCAGCATGTGAGCTTTCACCAAACGTCAGTATTTGTACTAGTTGGGAGTGAGAATGTGTTGCAAATATATAGCTTATGAATATATTTCAAACCTTAAATCTACCACAGTGCTTGCTATCCATATTTAACTGTGCTTCTTTAGAAGCTACCCTTCCGTCTTTGCACACGGACCTTTTGTTGAAAAAGGATACTGTGAATCCTATAGGTCAGTCTCTCCAATTGGATCCAGTTTAGCTTATATAATATAACTGAACTTAATTCAACTCACATTGGAGAAATGTATCTCTGCATTTAATCCATCCCCTTGGGGAGTGGGCTGCCATTGTGTGGCATCTGGTGAGCAGTGTGGGGTTAAGGGTTTTGCTCAGGAACCCAGAGTGCAGGCTGTGAGGATCAAACTGGGTATTTGCAACCTTCTCAAAGCACAAGAGCACTGCTCCACCCCACTATGCCAACACTCTGCTATTATATAACCAAAACATTGTTCTAAAGAGTCTTATCAGCTTACGGTATTATGAGTCAGTCATCATCATGAGCCAGGAAACCTTGGTGTTCTCTGAAAACACGTTTCCTCCTAACTGTCCCTTTAAAACATCCTTCAGCAGAGCCAGAGTATCCATCTCACAGCGTTACCTGTGCTATGATAATAAAGTTTGTCTGAGTTTATGACTCAACTGGCTGTTCATTAGGGAAAGGAATGTGGATGTTTAACATGATTTTAATATGGGGTACACTTCGGCTTAGAATTGAAGCTGCTTATGAAGCTTTTTTTCTATATTGTTGGCAGAGGTCTGTACTTACAAGTTACATTTACTCAATTACATTTACTTGAGTAACTTTTAGAAAAACAATTACTTTTAGAAGTAGTTTAACAGCATTGTACTTCTTATGTTTACTTTAGTAAAACCATGATAAAGTATCACTACTTTAAATGAGTAAAATTTTTGGCCACTCCATCCAGTTTGTCTTCACTTAATGAAAACACACTGGTTTTAAACAAATATGTACCATTGAAAGACGCTTTCTTAAATTCTGACTTGACGTTTAAATGTGATTTTTCCATCTGATGAGTCAGCTGTGTCATTTGTAGTTACAATTTACTGTAATTTAATCTATTCTACATTCTGTATCTATTGATTTGGTAAGTTTTATAACTTAAAAAAATATTAAATCTGTTATAAATATGGGTAGTAAGTAGATCAGTACTTTTAACTCTTACTTGAGTCATTTTTTTAAAGGCTACTTTTTACTTTCACTTGAGTAAAAATATGATGAAGTAGTGCTACATCATAGCAATAGTTACTTAAGTGAAATGTTGGGGTACTTAACCCACTTTGATTACAGGTCCTTATGTATAGATACAGCACACATGTTCAAGCATTCATCACAGACTGGTTTTGAATCCAATAAAATCGATCATTAAAGTTTCATATTAGATGTCTAAGAGCAATTATGATGCAATTTGGCTGCTGTTCCCCCACCTTGTCTGCTGCTTTCTAAATCTGTGACGCATGAGTCAGAGTGAAACTGCCTATTTTTAAGGCATGTTTTTTTTTGCTTTTCTATACATCGAATTTGTATGGAAAGTGGCGTACGCAGGTTTCAGGCAAGTTATATGAAAGCTTTAAAAATGAAACCCCAGGTCAGAGCTTTAAAGCCATACTGTAATAATCATTGACAAGCCTCCACTCCTTGTTTAGGTTCTTTTGGTTTCATTTGAAAGTCGGAGGTTTGGACTTGAAACAGTTTCCTCATTTTGGCCTCATATATCAGCACAGAATTCTGATTAATTCTGATTCTTGGAGCAGCTAAAAGAAAATTTTTGCTGGATACTTTAGCCAGTTTTTGCAGAACATATTATATAATAGCCTGAAATGAGAATATACCGTATGCAAAATGCTGTCTGTAATTAACATGAAGGTAAATTGTGGCAACAGACCCTCAGGAAGCCGTAGAGGCAGACTGACACCCAATTGGTCAGCAGCTTCTCCACCGTAGACTCTGTGCGCCTCAGCAACAGTTTGGGTTGAGCGTTGCTGTTCTGCTGCATCAGATCCCTCAGCAGAACCTCCATCACCTCCGTCAGGTACGACAGGTTGCTGTGAAGTGCCACATTGAGCAGAGATGCAAGTGTGCACCTAAGAGAGGAAAAAAAAAAGGTGAAAAAGAGCAGATTTCTAGAAATAGACCTAACAAATGATCACACTACTCTGTGATGTAATGCATCAGAACAAACTTACTTGTCTTTGATAGTGAAGCTTTTCTGCTCCTCTAAAGCGTGCACCATAGTGGTGAGAAAAAGCTGGTCCTGGATAAGCTTGGAGAAAGTCTGGCAGCCCTCATCAAGCTCAACCTTCACCACATCCTGATCAGACATCAAACATCACTGAGAGACCATTCAAACAGCAACAATGACAGCTGCTAGCGGAGCCTACCTGACCGATGTCCGTGATGCACATTGTGATCAATGTATCATTCTAAAAAAACCAGAGATAGCTGTGTTATTAGGAGATCCAACTATAGACATTCAGTGAATAATCATTGTCATTAAAGCCCAGTTGTATTTCTTTCCAGCTTTCACCCCTTTACCTCTGGAAAGAGGATTCTGGAAGCAAAGTGCTTGTAATCCAGGAAAGGAATCGTTCCAACGTTTTCCATCAGATCAGCTTTCTCTGTCTGCAAGTCTATAAAACCTTGGAAGGAAAGCCGCAGTGAAGAATCTTTAATAACAAATTGCAACGCAAGCAATTTACAAAGCAGGGTCTGTTTCTACTTTCTATGAACTGAAAACCCAAATGCAAAAAGCAGTGTTTACATCATCTAGCACATAAGCAGAATGAGGTATTTAAAATGTCAGTACAATAACTTGATAAAAAGGGAATTTTTTCTCTCCACTGTTGCTGCATGCATACTTGGTATTAGGGATTACTGAGGAGTCAATGAATCTTCATCCACTAGGAGCCTGTCCTCCAAGTCAACGACTGGATGCCATCAGCAGCTTTTCCTTGAAAGAAACTTTGAACCAATCTGATTGTACTGGCTCTGTAAAGTGCCTTTACGTGACATGTGCTGTAATTTCATGCTATTGATTGAATTGAATTAAATCCCTGCCCCTTGGTAGGATAAATTTTTGTTTAAATTTAAGCTCAGTGTAATGGTATATAATGGCTTCTGTTTATCACCACAATAACCTGTGCAACATTTTCAACATTGCAAAAAGGAACCAGTTAAGCAACACCATAGATCACAAAAAAGGAACAGCTATCTGTGTTAGAACCACAGTGAGGTTGAAAGTATAAAGTGAAGTGGATCAAAAGAGACAAAAGTGATTATGTTTCATGTTAATTCTGAAGAAAAGCACATTCTGTGTGTTGCTATGGAGTGGAAGCATGCTGCAGATAACATTATGCTTTACTGGGTTTGTTTCGATCAGTGATAGGGAAAGGCTTCATCTAAAGAGCCCAGAACAATTTAGCTGAAATATCTTTGAAAAGAATAATTTTGAAGCCAACTGCGAAAAATTTTAATTTAAAAGAAATAATTCATCTTAAATTTAGGACCGAAAAGTTGTTTCTGACGGGAAATGATTGTTCAAAAGTTAATAAAACAATCAATTGTTCTGGACTTAATCAGTTTTCATTTACATTTTGTTACATTTAAAGCCCAAATATAAAAACCCAAATGATATTATTGTTGTAAGATGGGACAGACCTTGTCTGATGTCGTTCCTTATATCGAGCTCTAGGTCCTCCATGAACCTGTTCATCTTAACAGTGAGCTGCTTCTGCTGTCTCTTATAGATGACAAAGGCCACTAAGAAGAATTAAAAGGAAAGGGTCAGTTTTTACTATTGGAGCTGGTAAAGACCTGAAACGTTGGGCACTTACCAACAATGACGATGGGTATCAGTAGAATCATAAGACAAGTTAATAAGAGGAGAACTTGAGATGGCTTGTTCAGGGTTACAAGCTTTTCTCCATATTTTATCTGTAAGAGAAATTTTTCACAATAGCTCAAAGGACAAAGGAGACCTACAGCTTTATACAGGTGCAAAAAAACAAGAACAAATAACGTTGAAAAAGTAAAAACAAAGCAAAGATAAACTGATTTGGCAAACTTCTAACATCTAAAATGAAAACATGGCAAAAATTACTGTCAATAAGTATTTATCTTGAGGAGGAGTAACTACAGGCAGGACAGTATTTATTCAGCCATTTTGGATAGTTTAGACTTTATGTTGAAGTTACTTCTTAATTTAATCCAGTTTAGCTACTGTATGTAGTGCCAATTCATTGCAAATACTATCTAAAGGCTTTTTAAAATTAAAATAGTTGTTTAATTAAAAAAAAAACAATAAATTCTAATGAAGGAAACCTGGCTGAAAGTCAGCAACCACCCTTCCTGGACAGTTACTTTATTTGTATAGTTGACTTAGCAGCAATACTGAGCATTTAATAGACATATTATGTGACCTTTAGCTGAGGTGAGTGAAGTCTGCAGAGCTTAAAGCGCTGTTATGGTTCTTTAACTGATAGAATTCATGGCATAATGGCCATGCTTTAAGGTGCTTTAAGGCATGTTCAGTTTAAGTTAATCTTTGGTTATGCAGGTCAGTTAGTATGGGTGTGGTTATTTAAACTGACCTCTGCTTTCTAAGAAATCTGATAAATCATAGTTAACTCCTGATTGAACAAAGATAACTGGGGTTGGAATGTTGGTTTTATCATCATGCTTAGAAACAGTATTTATATTTCCTCAGTTTAGTTGGATTGCAGTGTGTTTGATTATAATAATGCAGGTTTGGTTATAAACTCCATGCTCTTTGCTATTTCAATAAGACTTGTTTTATGTTTATGTTCTTTTACACAGTAAGGCAGATGGGACCAGCTTTTTTTTTTTATTCCAGTTAAAATCTTTTCTGTCCTCCCTGCTTCCTTCTTTCTGCAGCCAAATTTTTAGAGTAATCCTACATCCTGCAGGTTACAGGTTCCTTATCTGCTTCCATTTACCTGTTCAGTGAAAACAATCATAGTTTTTCACCAAAAATACAGCTTTTTCATTTTATTTTTTAATGCTAACCTTGATATAATAAAGCTAAATTTAGATTTACCTCTATCTGTTCAATGTCAGAATTTTGCAGTCCTTCGATCTCACAGGTAAAAGCTTCTGTCTTGTTTTCCCTTTGTTTTTTTTTGATGCATGGATACTTATTTTCACCTTGAATCCCCCAAATCTCCAACTCTTCTTGTTTCATCTCCAGCTTATCTGCCTTTTTCTGAAATATCAAAAGCAATTTCACCTTTACTAATCAAATATCCAGATGTTTATATGACAAATATATGACAGAATTTGTCTTACTTCGATACGGATGCGGATATATTCGCCCTCCTTAAAGGCTGTGAAGCTGGTGAACTCTGGGTCAGGATAGTAAACAATTTTTTTGTTGCATTTCAGTGTCTTATTGGCTACTATAAGAAACACAGTGCTACTGGACACTGCAGGGTTTGTTTCTTCAGGTGTTTCATAGGTGAGTTTCTGAAAAATAAATAAACACATTCCTTATCAAGGAGCAAAGGATTTGAGCAGTTATTGTGACATTTTTGGCTTTATTTTATTACCTGAGCCTCTCATATACAAACAATTACATGCCTCCCCATGAAACATTGTCTATTTGGTTAAACGTGTATCCGCAACGTTACCTGAAAGCTTCTGTTCATTAAAGGTATGACTTCATCCTTGGTGTCTGCGTGTGTGATCCCCTCCACCAGGTCTAAGTTAGTCCCAAAAAGAGTGATCTTCCTCTTCCCACTGCAGCAGTGAGAGCAGAGGACAAACTGAGACATTTCTTAACTTTTTATTCAAGGTATTTCCATATCTAATATAATGTTACCCACCAAACACTTTTATTTAGTTAAACGGTGCTGTGAAAATATATTTACCAGCTTGCAATTATGTTTCTTTTTGTTGTTAAATATCTACTTTCATTAAAAATAACGTGAATTACTGGACAAAAATGTATGCATTAATGATACCTCCAAAACCCTGACAGCTCAGGGCACAGACTAGGAAGCAGAGTCGTAGTTTAACACACGTCTCTGCAGCTTCCCCTTAGCACTTTTACCCACTCATTACTCCATCCAGATAGTGTGAGTTTGTATCTCTGCTTCTTTTTCTGTGTCTGCTCCTGTCTCTCCTTGAACCCCAGTTGGCCTCGGCAGATGGCCGCTCACACTGAGCCTGGTTCTGCTGGAGGTTTCTTCCTGTTCAAAGGGAGTTTTTCCTCTCCACTGTCGCTACAAGCATGCTTGGTGTGAGGGATTGCTGAAGAGTCAATAAGTTGATGCAATCAACTGTTTTTTTCTTAGATAGAAAACTATGAATCCATCTGACTGTATGATCTGGTTTAATTGTCTCTGTAAAATGCCTTGAGACGATACATGTTGTGAATTGGTGCATTATAAATAAACTGAATTGATATTGAATTAGCTTTTTTATATCATCTGGATAAAAATTTGAGACACCCCTCTAAGTAGAGTAGTTTTAATTCAGCAGCAATAAAGGTTTATCCAGGCATGTTAAAGGTTAGGCCACCATGTCTTAGGCAGATTAATGCTGCTTTCTATTTTTCCTAGCAAAAAGACATTTTACCATTTTAGTAGCTGGGCTGACGTGATTAATTGCACATCTATACAACTGGACAGAAGAGTAGAAGAAAAAAGATAAAAATTCATAAAAGAACTCCTGCACACTGTCTAATTTAAATGAAACGATTATTATTATTATTTTTTTTTTACAACATATGTGTACTATATCCTTATCAGGAATGTTTTAATGCAAGTTAGACAGTGTATGGGAGATCTTTTGTAAATATTCTCCCTTTAATTAGGAAATTGGGGAAACGCATCCATACCGCACTTCTGCATCAAATATGAGTTTGCGTTTTAACATCAGCCTTGGGAAAATGTTCCTGCTTTAATCATTCCTAAAGCAGCATCACAGCCACAAACCAGCACACCATCACCACCATGTTTCACCACAACTTTTCTGACATGCGATGTAACCAAAAACTTCCACCTTTGTCTTGTCAATTTAAATAATCACAAATCTTGAGTCATCAAGCATCATGTGAGGAAGAACAGGTCTTTGTGGTATTTTTACTTTAAAATGTTTTTTGGTCCTAGAAAGCTCTTAAGGTGCCCTTCTCTCCCGTCTTGTTTTTAGTGTTAAATAAACGTGACCCTTGTTGTGACCCCTTAGATGAGGGCTAAATGGGCTATTGGAAGAATTTTGGTAGAAAGTCTGGTAGCCACTCCTGGCTTTCATTGTGGTTCACTAATCAAGACATGATCAGTTATAGATGTAACCTTCCTCTTTGCCTTCCGGGCTGCATTTCCTGCCTACGAACCGTCAAGCTAAGGAAAAAAGGGCCAGGAATCAAACTACAATTAGCTGAAGGGACTACTTGATATGTCAGGATTAGAGGAAGAAGCTAGAAACTTTACAATTAGCTCTTCTTGAGAGTTTGTGACATTTTAAACAGTGAAAAGATGGACAGAGTTCTACACAGCTTAGATTTAGAAAATGTTTAGCTGATTTTATCTATTTGCAACTTCGACACACATGATATCTAAACTATTTTTGCTGTTCTTTTTATTTTCTCTCTTTTCATGCACTCTTTCCTATCTGTATTTAGTCCCCCTTTCCCTTTCTCTCTCTGTGTCTGTTGTATATGATTTTACTCAATAAATAATTTCCAATAAAGTTAAAGATACAAGCATCAAGTGGAACACTACAGAAACAGTAATACTAGTCTGCTAGTACAGGTGCTGGTCATAAAATTAGAATATCATGAAAAAGTAGATTGATTTCAGTAATTCCATTTAAAAAGTGAAACTTGTATATTATATTCATACATTACATACAAACTCATATATTTCAGATGTTTATTTTGTTTAATTTTGATGATTACAAATGACAACAAATGAAAATCTCAAATTCATCATATCAGAAAATTAGAATATTGTGAAAAGGTTCAAAATTGATGGCCCCTGGTGCCACACTCTAATCAGCTAATTAACTCAAACCACCTGCAAAAGCCTTTAAATGGTCTTTCAGTCTAGTTCTATAGGCTACACAATCATGGGGAAGACTGCTGACTTGACAGTTGTCCAAAAGACGACCATCGACACCTTGCACAAGGAGGGCAAGACACAAAAGGTCATCGCTAAAGAGGCTGGCTGTTCACAGAGCTCAGTGTCCAAGCACATTAATAGAGAGGCGAAGGGAAGGAAAAGATGTGGTCGAAAAAAGTGTACAAGCAAGAGAGATAACCGCACCCTGGAGAGGATTGTGAAACAAAACCCATTCAAAAATGTGGGGGAGATTCACAAAGAGTGGACTGCAGCTGGAGTGAGTGCTTCAAGAACCACCACACACAGACGTATGAAAGACATGGGTTTCTGCTGTCGCATTCCTTGTGTCAAGCCACTCTTGAACCACAGACAGCGTCAGAAGCGTCTTGCCTGGGCTAAAGAGAAACAGGACTGGACTGCTGGTGAGTGGTCCAAAGTCATGTTCTCTGATGAAAGTAAATTTTGCATTTCCTTTGGAAATCAAGGTCCCAGAGTCTGGAGGAAAAGAAGAGAGGCACTTCATCCACGTTGCTTGAAGTCCAGTGTAAAGTTTCCACAGTCAGTGATGGTTTGGGGTGCCATGTCATCTGCTGGTGTTGGTCCATTGTGTTTTCTGAGGTCCAGGGTCAACGCAGCCACATACCAGGAAGTTTTAGAGCACTTCATGCTTCCTGCAGCTGACCAACTTTTTGGAGATGCAGATTTCATTTTCCAACAGGACTTGGCACCTGCACACAGTGCCAAAGCTACCAGTACCTGGTTGAAGGACCATGGTATCCCTGTTCTTAATTGGCCAGAAAACTCTCCTGACCTTAACCCCATAGAAAATCTATGGGGTATTGTGAAGAAGAAGATGCAATACACCAGACCCAACAATTCAGAAGAGCTAAAAGCCACTATTAGAGCAACCTGGGCTATCATAACACCTGAGCAGTGCCACAGACTGATCGACTCCATGGCACGCCGCATTGCTGCAGTAATACAGGCCAAAGGAGGCCCAACTAAATACTGAGTGCTGTACATGCTCATACTTTTCATGTTCATACTTTTCAGTTGGCCAACATTTCTATAAATCCTTTGTTTTTATTGGTCTTCAGTAATATTCTAATTTTCTGATATGATGAATTTGAGATTTTCATTTGTTGTCATTTGTAATCATCAAAATTAAACAAAATAAACATCTGAAATATATGAGTTTGTATGTAATGTATGAATATAATATACAAATTTCACTTTTTAAATGGAATTACTGAAATCAATCTACTTTTTCATGATATTCTAATTTTATGACCAGCACCTGTAATATCAAAGCTGTTTGGCTATCATCCAGCTCTGGGACATACAGTCTCTGAGCTACATTAGCAAAACTGGAACAAAGAAAATAAAGAGAGAAAATACCACTGTATATGTTTAGTATTTAATTTGCCTGTTTAAAAAATAAAAAAACTTAAATGCCATGAACTCATTATGGTTCTGAAACAAGAAAAAACACTAATGCTGTGGCTTTTCATTGAAAAGGGAACTAAGGTTAAAGTGAAAATGTGTTGTTCAGGAAGTGTCTGTCTTTCCTTGCCACGTTACTCTGTTTGAGATGCAATGGTTACTAAAACAAACCCAATTGAACAAGGTTTAGTAAAATTTATTGTTTGAGATTTGACCGCTTTGAATGTTGAGCCATTTCAGGTCCCACCAAAGAATGAAAATTAGGTATACACGTTTGCAATGGCACAGCTAGTTTTAGTCTTGAATATATATTTATTTAATTTAGAATGAAGTTGAGGTTATTGTAGAATGTGGATGTTCCAGAAATATGTTTAAAGAAACAACAAGTCACGCAGTAAATGCTCTCTGGCCCAAAACCTCACCTGGGTTTACTATGAACTTTAGAATTAAATATTTTATGACTGACCTGAGGTCATTTAAACATATCTGATAGGTTTTTATTTCTCATTGGTTTACATTATTAATTTAGATAGCTACAATGAAATCCATATAAATGCTCGATAACATAAGAAAATGAAACACATTTTAGTTCTCATTAATATTGTATCTTGCCTAAATACTGGGCTGTAGGTCTAAACCAATTCAAATGCTAAGGTATAGGCTAGATAAGTGATGCTGTCCAGGTTTCAGTTAATCAGGTTTCAGTTCATCTTAGACAATGACTCACATCCTCTCCATGACACACTGGTCCAGCAGAGGAGCTCCTTCAGCAGAAGACTTCTCTTACCCAGATGCACCACAGAGCGCCACAGGAAATCATTCCTACCTGTGGTCATCAATCTCTATAACGCCTCCCTCAAGTGATTCAGCCCCCCCCGTAATTAACATTTATGCACCATTTTTGCACGCCACGTATCACTTTACTTGGATTTATCACTTTCCTTTGATTTATCACTTTACTTGGATTTTCACTTTATTTGGATTTAGTTTTTACATATGCATAGATATACGTACAGATATATATACAGAAGAGCTATATGTGTATATATTTTATCTCTTTTTATTCTTTTATTTTTTTATCTTTATTATATTGTATAGTTGGATGTGTGTATACATTATATAAAACTGTAACTGGAGCGTGTAACAAAAGTAATTTCCCTCTGGGATTTTTAAAGTATTTCTGATTCTGATCTGATACTTTTGGTTAACAAGATTAAGTAGGTCCAAAATGTCCGTGCATAGTTTTCTACAGCTTCTGGAACTGGTGAATCAAAATATTTTTGCATTAAAGTTTGAAATACCTTCTCCAGCTGCTAGGTGGTTTAACATCTGTGCAGATTGGTGATGACTGATATCTAATTTCACTGTTGCCATGGCAGCTTCCATCTGGAAGGAGGACACAGACTTTGACAATGCCTTTAGTTTCTGTACTGGGAATGTGGAACGTCAGACTGGTCCCGTTGTTATTCCTTACAGGAGATCTGAGCAGAAAACACAGGGAACCACAGAGATAAAAAAGGGTTAAAACCAGAAAAAAGGATTACAGCCATAATTGAAAAACAACCATAAAACTGACCAAAATACATCATGTGTCTCAGAAATAGGAGATATTACCACAGATTGTGTTTTTTTCTCTGTATCTTAAAAGGAATTAGAAGAGTTTTTCCACAGAACAGTTACAATACAAATAGAGGACACTCAAAACAAACACCAGCAAGCCCAGCTTTGGCTGTCAAAACCACCTCACCCCGAGAGTCACTTAAACACTTTTGCTAGAATTAGAAGGCTTGTGTTACTGTGGATGTGAAAGTACATGCCTCTATATTTGTAAAGATTGCTGCTGAATGCTTCTCAGCCACTGTAGAGAAACACTTAGAGCAAATATTTCACTCTTACAACCTTTCTGAGCATTACTGAGTTAGATGTGGACGACTAGTACCAGATGTTCAGCCACTGAACCAGGTGAGTGGAATCTGCAGAGTGAATAAACCTGTGCAGATTGGACTCGCCTGATTCAGTGGCTGGGAAGAATACATACGTACCATACAGATGACTGATTGACTCCAGATCCCTCATATCTGCCTTTAAACCCAGCGCATCTCTTGATGGCCGAGTGACCCCCCCTTACTGATGCCCTCAATGTCACTTTGTTGCCAACTCCTATCCTTCCTCCTCAGCCCCAGCTTTCCTTTTCTATCTAGTCTAAAATTCACTATGGGAGTCTCTTAGGCAAAAAAAGATTACCACAACAGCAGTAAAGTACAAAACAACGTACTCCTTTGGGTCACAGTCCATGTCTTCCTGAATCCTGACTTTGGTCACATGTGTGAGGTTATGACCTGACAGCACAGCATTATTTCTGCCATAGAAAGACACAACACTGGGAGAAATGGAGGAGATCTCTGGTTTCTGAGGGAACACATAGAAAATACAGCGGTTACAGATTACCAATTAGTTATACTTTAAATATAACAGTTGAGCTAAAATTTAACTCACAAAAAAATTAATCCCAGACTTCATATTTTCACAAGTGCTTTCCTGCAGGAAGAAAGAGATGAAAACATTTCACCAATCCTGGAATCCTGTGCTGCTATTACAGCTTGTATGAGTTCAGTTTATTAAATCAAACATTTAAAAATGTTAATGTAGCAAAGTGCGCAACAGAGGGCCTGGGTGGAGTTCTGTCCCTATACTCCAAGGTGAAAGTCATGCCGCTAATCAGTCAGCCAAAGGAATAACCTCCAGGCCAAGTAGCCAGGACACATGATCAGCCACAGGCATAGTGTCAGCATAACACTGTCACATGAATAAATTGTTCATCATTACCTTCTGGCCTGGATCAGTGGCCCAGGAACAACAGTTCTGTTCCCATCCACATCCGGCTCTGATACACCGCTGACACCTGAAGAGAAAACAAGCACAAAAGTAAAACATTACGAAATGTTATTTTAGGAACAAGAACTTTCTGAAGCTAATTTAGTTGTAATATTGCCCTGGTAAAAGAACATTGAGCCAGTTTCCTGAGTGAAGAATGAAGCTTCCCAGTCTTGTATGTATTAGGAATCCTTTTTTTTTACGTGCAGCAGGAAACAGATCATTTTACCAACCAGTCAGATTTAAATACCAGCTCTAACTTCTGTGTTTCTCAGACTTATGCAGTTAAATTAAATAGTTTGACTTCAGGATGGTATCATCAACTTACAGGTGAAGACTTGCATCTCCATTGATATTTGAACAGTTGGACACCTTTATTTGGTCTTCCAGCGTTGTTTCCCCAAGTGTGATCTTTACATTGACATCAAGATCTGTAAATCCAACATTAAGTAATTAGAATAAGACCCTGAACATCTACAAAAAAATGTTGGAAGACTCCCTGGCCGGCCCTGACCATCAGTAGGAAGGGAGTTCTTCAGAATGCAGGTGCATTGTTGGTACTGTGGTTGTTGTCCAGTTTCTTGACAAATTTGGGTGGAGGATGTAGAGAACTGACAGCTAAAATTAGACTTAAATGGCTGCTCCACAGTCAGATGTGTATTAATGATTAGTTTGATCTGAGGAGAGAACAAATAAAGGAGACAAATAACTCTTGGTTCGGTCTGAACAAAGTCAGAAATGTATTAATAACTCACCTCTCCTGTGGAGTGCTGCATAACCATCTGAGAAACTATCTTCTGCTTTGATTCAGCAGGAATGGAAAACCACTTTCCATCTTTGCAGTCGCCTTCAAATGTGCATCTGAAACATTATTAATGTGTCATCACCAAGTTTAGATCTGTCTGAAGGATTCAGCGGCAGATGAAGTTTCCCTGACCTTTTTTTACTAAAACACCAGACACAGAATGGGTCCTGTGCAGAAAGACAATCCTTCACATTTTGGTGAGCGCTGCAGTTTGACACCGGAACACTCTTCACCTGGAACAGAGCACCATGTTTTAGACACACCTTAACATTCAAAACAGGGAAATATCTCATGAGAAAGATTTAATCTACCTGGTTTTTAAACGGCACATACACATGTTTCTTATCCACTGGATCCAGATGGATTTTAGGAAACACTCTGTTGTCACCACTGGTTCTGTAGAGGATCTTTGGACAGGTGGACTGATAGTTCTTGTCTACGGCAAGCTGACAGCAACAATAATGCAGGTTACACTTACAGCGTGTAGATAAGAAACAGATGGATGGATGGATGATGACACAGAGTTTTGGAACCGACACAACTGCAATTCTAACAATGCATCAATAGCCCAATAAAACCATGATGCTACTGTTGAGATCAAATGTCAGTGATGTCCCCTGAATGACTCCCCTCTGAAGGAACACCTCTCTGGCAAAGTTTTGAAACCCACTACTTCCTGTTCAACTTCCTGTTGCCGGTGGGTCATGGCTGTGAAAGGCTTAGGCTAATCACTTATCAGCTGAAAGCTACGCTAAGTAGTGACTAAATCCCTTCAGAGAGGTCTGTGCTTGCTGAACTAACTCAGGCTACCCTTCCTACAATTCAGTGGAGCTGATCATGGTGACTGTCATTTACTACGATTCAGTGGAGCTGATCATAGTGACCGTCCTTTACTACAATTCAGGAGAAGCTGATTATAGTGGCTGTCTTTTCCTGCAATTCAAACCAAGTTGAACGCAGTGCCACCTGAATTCACCTGCAGCAGAGAGAGAGAGAGAGAGAGAGCTAATCCATCTCTGGTAACCTAAATCTAACTGCCAAAGGAGCGACAGTGGGGCCCAATTTCTGTTTGCAGAGGAGTCGTTAGAAACTGTTGACCTGTGCCATACTAGTACTGCCTAGATGAGCCACTGGTGTGCCGCTACATGAGGGCTGCGGCTGCACAGCTAACCGCCATAGGTAAAGGGAGAGGTCCCAGGCAACAGTGAGTTATAAAATTAACACCCCTGCAAATTTGCATCTTGTTATGGCATTGGATTGATCCAAATCTCTTTGAGAGCTGCCGTTGGATTAATGGACTGGAACGAAGATGGGGCCTGCAACAAACTGAACCAAGGCGAAGGCTTTCATTCCACCGAGCCAAAACAGTAACATCCTTTCTTCTCCCTTTCCACCTGATGCTTAAGAGGTGCTCTGCTTGGGTGAACTAGATAGAACAGATATCGTGTTTATGTTTTAATTGAAATAAACTTTCTGGTTCATCTGCTAATGGTTTTAAGAGTTTAACTGAATGCTTATGCTAACTGCACAGACAAGCCACGTGGGTCTGAAGACACTGCTACAGTGGATTGGCTACCATTGTTAGCTCCAGCTACCTCATGTCGGACATGTTGTAGAGGCCAGAGTGAAAAACTTTAAACTTTCCTTTGTTTCAGGTTGACCCACCCGGACCAGATAATCTAACCCATTCTCTTTCAGCCTCATCACAGTTTAATGCATTCCGGAGTCATTGTTCACTTTTCACCATAAAACAGAATGAAACTGCACTGTTTTGACTGCATTTAACATGTCTGCATCATAATTTATTCACATTTATCTGCTGCTATTTTTAAAGGAAAATTCAATGCATTAAGCCTTAAAACTTGAACATTCCTCTCAAAACCCCTTTTTCCACTTTTATTTATTTACTTCTGCTTATTTTTAGTAGTGTTTAGTGTTTGCGTAGTTATTAGATGTAATAATACTGTGTGATTATTAGGTAATAAAGGTACCATTGTAATTTTACCCATGGTCTTTTGTGTCTATTTTATGCAGTGAACAATTTATCACCCTTCTTTCAGTTGCATCTGAATGAACAGAGACAGATTTATATTTTTGGTGATTGATAATTTTGCTGATAGCTATACTCTAAATTACTAAATTGGTGAAAGTTACTCGATTTCAACAGCTGATTCAGGAGTCCAACTTTTTATGTAAGAGACTAAGACCCCTGGTCAATAAGCAAATTGCAGTTAAGATCATGTAACTGATAATAATTCATCTGAATGACCTACTGTAATAATTAACTATAACTTCCAGTTCTAGTTATTTAATATATTCATAATCTTCTGGTAAACTTGCACAACACTACCAGACAGGTCAGTCGCCATTGAAAATTAGACGCTTCAAACTGTAACTTAAACTTAGACAACCTTTGGTGTATAATCACTGACATTTCATTTCCAGATTTTTACAGACATAAAAACATTAAAAAAAGACAATGATGTTATAGAAAAGGAAAATAGTAATAAAACAGTAGAACCCTGGGATTTCTTTACAAATGATCTTATTGTACTCTATAAATGCCCTGTACTAATAAAAGTTCACTAAAAGTGACAAACGTAAGCAGAAATCCAATGTAGAGTGTGTAGGGAATCTGTTGACGAGATTTCATATTTAATTTACAGAAAAGGTCAAGAGCAAAGCTATTGTTAAAGATAGACCAAAAGAAGTTAAATGCTAGATGAGGCACAAAAGCCATACTGCACACACATAGAAATGTGTCCCATTTGACTATACTGTATATTTTAGCAGCTAAAGCTATACAGGCTACAAGCTGAACCTGATTATGGCTATCGCCAGTGTCTGCTTAACTACACCCCCTGTGTAATTCAGTTTATGCTATGAAATGTTCATGCCTCAATAGCAAGACAGAATAAAGTCCTAACAACATACTTTTCATGTAAAAGACTCCACATGTGTTTTTCTTTAACCAAAGAGTCATAGTTATTCAACACTTTTACATTTCACTTTGATGCTGTTCAATGTTACATAATTTGATGGAACAGATTTGTTCCTCATATTTTGCTTTTCTACACACCTTGATGAGCTGTCCATCTGTTGTTCCAATGAAGAAAACCATCCAGCTGTTAAGTCTGACGGCCAGAACTGAGTTCATGTTGTTCTTCTTAAAAAGAACCGCCTTTGGTTTCAGGGCCACAGGTTCTGACTGACAAACAGAGAGCATTGCTTATAAACGTTGTGTAATGTTGAGTTTTCAAATTGTTGGGATGATGGTGAAAATTGAGCACAATAAATGTAGATATGATTTAGACTCTATATTTATAAGCATAAAACAACAAAACTCTCTTTTAAAATGATCTCAGTTTGTACAATCTGCAAATGGCTGCTGTATTTTCAGTCATTTAGGACAGAATGAAACATCAACAGAAGGTTTAGTTAAATGAGGTGACCTACCGGCTTGTTTGGCTTGTTTGATGAGTAATAGAAGTCTGGATCGGTGCCTGTTGTCGTGCTTTGATCAGGACTGATGTCAAATAGCAGCAGCTCAGTGTTGGTCTCTTTCCCGTCCAAACTGAACACTCCGCTCCAAAAGACCTGCTCTCCTCCTGCAATGACCGAGGAGGCCAGCAGTCTGCTGCCTTCACCTCCATTAGAGCTACTGAGAGTCGCTCCACCTAGAGACTTTAGAGTCTGAGCTTTACTGGTTTCTGCCTGAAGCCAAATGAGACAGACTTTGTTGGTTTTAGCTCCTGATGCCAAGTTTGAGAACAAATACACTGTTGAATTGATCTGAAATCCATCCACAAAATCGACACCAGCCTCAGTTTTAATGCTAGGTGTTTCCCCTTCATCAGACGCGGAAAATATCCCCCCAGACTGTTTCTGATCTGTGTTTTGAAGGTTGATTGTCTCTAAGTCAGATCGACACTTTGTTTCCTCTTGGTTCTCTCTGTCTTTCTGGATCGCAGTCAGAATATACGTCTCAGTCTGAACTGAATCCTTCTTCACGTTCACCAAAAAGTTGACAGAACCTCTGCTGTTCCTCCGAGGTCCCATCTGGATGTGTTCTCTGTACACAAGCTTAGAGATGTTCCTCAGGTCCAGAACCTCACAGTAACCACAGCCCTTGCCTGTCGTACCGCAGATGATTATTGTGTCATTGTTCACAAAAGGTAATAAAACATTTACAATAAAAGTTACATTCCAGGTAGCATTGATTGAGACCCGATGAAACTCATGTTTGTTCTGTTGACTCGGGTTCTTTAAGATCCCTCTTAGGTTCAGGCTGTTGATCAGAGTCAGGTCGTGGCTCAGCTGGTAAAGCTTCTCCTGTGTAGAGATGTAAACAGATTCATTGCTCACTGCGAGCTGGTGGAGGTCCCCTTCTAATCTGAAACCTATGTCTTCCTCCACACCCAGAGCAGGTTCTCCCCAGATGGAGCAAAGCAGACCGAGCAGAAGGATCATCTTGTTCTAAAGGAGGCAGCTCTGACTGAGAAAGAGAGACTCTGATGGACTGCGGGACACTTTGGTGTCCGAGTCTCTACAGGGATGTGGGTAGAAGCGCTGCAGCCCAGCTGAAAGGAGAAGTGCTTAAAGTGGAAGGAAATGAGTGAAACCGGAAATAAAAACACAACAAATGATTTATGAAGGTGTGAGCGAGCATGTTTTACACAGTTTCATTTATCTGATCAATTTTCTTCTTTATGTGTATAACAGTCCTCTATAAAATGGCATTTGCTGACATCTGCATGCTCCTTCTTCTAACTTGGTATAATCATATGTTTTAGATCAACGTTTTATATTTTGCTAACTAAACTAAGAGAACACAATCCAGGCATTTCAGGCTTTGACCTTATGATTCATCATAAGTTTTAGCCTAAACCTACTTACCCCAAAAGTTCTAAATGCATAAAAATCTGGTATCTCACAGGAGTATTTCTGAATTCAAGGCAAACATCTTTCCTGCAAAAGCAAAAACAAACCAAAACGAAAGAACAGTAAACTTTCCTGGAGTTTTAAAATCTGTTTTTTTTTTCTTTTGTTTTAGCGCCCTCTATTGTTCTCCATATTGTCATGCTTTACTTTTTTTATATTCTCTTCATAATTACCTCATGTGCTAATGTGTCTGTATTCATCCTGTTAGTGGTGTAGTGCAGAGGTGTAGATGGTGGATAGACCAGAGCTTATCCCACCACCCTGAAAGCATAACACATACCTAAACACTAAAACATCTTAACCTTGCAATGCCATGAAACCATGAGTTGGAAACTTACCACAGTGACATTAACATCAGCGTTTCATAAGGCTTATATTATAGCTTACTGAGTTACAAACCACCCTCCCTGGCTTTCCATACAATAATGCAGTTATTGTATGGAAAGCCAGGGAGGGAAGACCAATTGCTATAACAACGTTAAGAAGACATTTATCTAGAAACTGCAGACACTTATTTTGGAGGCTTTGCCTTTAAAACTAATGTTAAACCCTGTCTATTAACTCAAGGACAAATCAGATCCCATTTTTTAGCCTATATTTGGTTAAAACCTGCAGTGTTGCATTTTCTAGGACTAGACATGAATCTACTAAATATCATCAGCCCTTCTAGACAGACTAATTCAGTTCTGTTGAAAGTTATTTTGAAAGATTAACTCTATTTAAGCAACTTATTGGTTGAACTAAGTCATTTTATTCAATATTCTTTTATTTTGTTAATATGTATAGATATATATGGGAAGACATTTAATGTAATATGCTGAGCAGCATTATTTAGCAAACCTGATTTTCGGTCTATACTGCCAATTTCTTGAGAACTGAAAAGTTGTTACAGTGATTAATGAAATATGTATCGATTAAAAGGCAGTATAATGTTTTTCTTCTGTCTAACAAGTTTCTGGATGTGTTTGGCTTTTTTAACAGTTTTTTTTTTTAGCTGATTCATATCTTCCTGCTCTATATCCATTTTGCTGTTAATTAACATGAATTCAGTTTGTAAAATCATTCCAAAAAATACAGCTTGGTAATTTGGATGGAATGCAACCTAAAGTCTCAGATAGAGCTTTAGAGCTCTTTGACAAACGTCTGTTCCCCAGTGTGGATATCAATCAGCAACAGCAATTGCCTCTATAAGCTGTCAAATTAAGAACAAATAAAAAAAAAGCTCAATCTTTGCATTTATCAAAAAAGATGTTCAACCCTGACATCGTGTGGTCTGACAGATGTTTTACCACTGGATGGTGTTCCTGAAAATAAATATTTCTCAGTTTGCTACTTTGTCTTGTCATAGTAAATAAAAGGTTAGAAGGTTCTGTTTGCCAAATGTAGTGCGACTGAAAGACTGGATAAATGTTGATTAAACATTTCATATATTTCAGTAGCTCAATTAAATGAAACAATGGTACACATCAAACAGATTGCTAAAGAAAGGCTTTTATTTTTGATTATTATGATTTTCCACTTACAAACAAAAATGTGTGTGTAGATAGATAGATATATAGATAGATAGATAGATAGATAGATAGATAGATAGATAGATAGATAGATAGATAGATACATAGATACATAGATAGATACATAGATGTGCTCTGAGAAGGTTGCAAGTACCTGGTTCGATCACCACAGACTGCCAATCTGAGTCCCTGAGCAAGACCCTTAACCTCACACTGCTCCCCGGGATCCACACAATGGCAACCCACTGCTCCCCAAGGGGATTGGTTAAATGCAGAGGTAAAATTCTCCATAGTGAGATCAAAAGTGTGAAAGTGGCATCTTGGGGTTGGCTTCGTCTTGGCTGTTATATGGCGGTGTTTACATTCCTGCTGCTGGCATGGGACCTAAGATGAATCCAGCCTTGGAGAATTTTGAGGAGATAAGGAAAGCCTTGGATTTTCCTTCTGGAGGAATCTGCCATTCGTAGCAAATGTCCATTCTGGACCTGGTTGAAAAGGTGAAGGTGCTGCGACTGCTGAATGAGGAAAAGGACAAATGGATTGCACTTTTGGAAGACCGATTGGCTGACTTGGAAGAGTACACCAGAATGAATGATGTGATCATCACCAGACTGCGTGTCAAGTCCCAACGCGGTGGCAGGTGGCCTTCTTCCTCTTGTCGAAGACAATAAGCTGGACTGTGATTTCAAAGAAGCGTCCCACTCGTTTAACAGACTAGGGAACAATGACAGACCTGATAATATCATGAGGTTCAGTAACCAGAAACAAAAAACTGCTCTGCTGAAACAGACCAGGCTGCTAAAGGGGTCAGAGGTGTTCATTAACTGGCACCTGACTAAGAAGACCAAGAAGGACTCCGACATTGCAAGTAAGATCCAGTCCATGTGGACCACAAACTGTAAATACTTCATCAAGTGAATGGAAACCCGGAGGAGGAAAAGGTTATGGTCATTCTGGACATCACAGAGCTGGACAAATATGATTAAAATCTTTTATGTACATTTGGAGCAAGTTTTCTATCATATATTTCGACAGCAGAAGTTTATATGCAGTGTCTTGGTGTCTTGCTCATTAGTGAGGGATGGATGGAGCGTGAGATCAATAGACGGATCGGTGCAGTGATAAGGTCGCTGTATTAAATTGTCGTATGGAGCTGAGTCGGGGGGCAAAGCTCATAAGATCTCGCTAATGACCAAAAGAAGAATGGTTTGAGCAAACATATACAGTTACATCTCAGAAGGTCTTCTTCATCTTTGGGGACTTTAGTATAGATCTACTTAACTAAAATAATCACAAACCTACTGAAGATTTCATTAATACCATGTAGCTACAGTTTGATCCTTTTCCCAAAATCGCTAGACCCAGCAGGATCACACTTAACGGTGCCACATTAATAGATACTATATTTACAAATATCCTGGATAACAATAAGTTAAGTACATTAATAGTTCAGCATATTAGTGATCATCTTTCAGTCTTTATTGTCAGCGACAACTTCTCTATATAAAATAAGGATAAAAGTAATCCACAGTTTAAAAGAGTCAGAACAGAGGAATCACTCATCTTTCAAAGAGGACTTATTGAAACATAACTGGGAGTGTCTGTTTTGCAATAAGATAATGTCGATATAGCAAATGATAATTTTATGAATATCTTTAAAGCATTATACGATAAAAAACTGTCCACTGATAATGTTCTCTCATAAAATCAAATACACAGAAGATCAATCGATCACAAAAGGATTACAAAATGCCATCAAAAAAAAGAACAAACTATATAGCAATTTCATAAGGCATAGGTCTTTAAAGGTAGAGAATAAGTATTAGAATAAATAAACCACTATTCTACGAATAGCTAAACGGGATTATTACAGTAAATTGTCAGATAGAAATATGAAAAGTATCAAAGGGATTTGGAATGTATTGAATAATTTTATCAAGAGAAACTCAGGAAAAATTAAATTTCTGTAGTGTTTTGTAAATAATGATAACAATTTTGAGGACAATAATGACGTTGTTCATAATTTCAATAATATTTTGTGGGTGTGGGACCCAAACTGGCAGAAAAAATCCCAGATCCTACAACTGCCCTGTTGAATGAAACATTAATCAGCAGGAATCCTTGTTCAATGTTTATCACTGCTGTGAGAGAAAGGGAAATTATAGATATAGTCAATAAATGTAATAAAAAGACATTAACTGACTGTGATGGCATTGATATGACAGTAATTGATAAAACTATTCAGCCTCTGAAAAATTTCTAAATTTCCTTTTCTTCTCTAAATTTCCAGAAAAGATGAAAATTACTAAAGTTATACCACTTTATAAATCTTGAGACAGGTAAGTTTCCACAAATTATAGAACTGTTTCTCTATTTTGACAGTTTAGAAAAAAATTGGAAAAATTATTCGTCGATACATTAGATACAGTTATTAATAAACATAAATTGTTACTGACAGTCAGAGAAGCACAGGGAATTCATTGATGAAAAAATGGTAAAACAAATTTATTTAGCAAAAATAAAGTTCAAACTTCAAACAAGACTGGGCCCATCAAGGAAAACAAATGACAAAAATCATAATCCAAACCTGACACAGGAAAATACCAACCTAACTAACACACAAGGGAAACATATGTTTATATATATGTTATATATACATATATATGTTTATATATATACACTAAGCACAAAGGACCTTGCCTAAGGGTCCACCTGGATGTCCATGTCGGGAATCGAACCCCGGTCACCTGTGCCGGAGTTGTCGGTGTTACCTACCGAGCAATCCAGTTGCCCGTGAGTATGGGCTGGAAGTCCCAAACTCAAAATGGAAGACACCTCCTAAGGTAGTTGAGAATGACCGAGCTAAGATCCTATGGGACTTCAAGATCCAGACTGACAAACAGGTGATGGCTAACCAACCAGACATCGTGTTGATGGACAAACAGCAGAAGAAGGCAGTAGTGATAGATGTGGCAATCCCAAGCGACAGCAACATCAAGAAGAAAGAACACGAGAAGCTTGAGAAATACCAAG